CCCCCCGAAATTTAACAATGGCTGTTTTATATTTCCCTAAAAATGAACTTCCCAAACAAGACACATCACCTGGGGCTAGGGTCGATGATTCACACACGGAGACTCCAGCGCAGGGACGTAAAGGATGGTGACGTTTTCCTGTTAATAGGCTGTGTAATCAGAATATACTAATGACCAAACAGTCTCAATTATAGATTCTTTTTAAGAATTGGAGCTGGTGCTCTTTTCGAGTCTGTATTCAAGACACAATGACTGGGAGCAACACCCTCTCTTACACTAAATGAGTATAAAGCGATTAGTAATTAGCATATCAACTATTTAGCAAGACCTTAGTCTTCTGGAAGGATTAGGATGTCTGATGACAGTCTGTGTGTGTCTAGCAGTGTGTGTGCAGCACAGTACATTTCCACGTCACTGTCTTCACTTCTCACAACAGTCTTATTCACACAGGGTGTATGGAGAAGATGGAAACAAACAACAGAGCTGGAGGGGCAGAAGCCAGACTCAAAGTGAGGCTTGCTACCTCGACTAGTGACTCACACTGACCCGAGAATCTCATTCGCAGTGTGAGTTCTTTTATTAAATCCTCTCTAATCAACGAAGGCGAGACTCTGCACCATTCCTAACGAACAGATTACAAACTGAGATGAGAAGAGTTAAAATTATTTTGTGAAACAGAAAATGGGCTAAAGATTTTAAAAGGTCACTATCTACACTACTGTAAACCACAATAACTTCATTAAGGAGGCACTGAAATGCTAAAGCACATTTTATTTACTAAAAAGATAAAAACAAGGGCTTGGAGAACTGAAAGAGACTTACTTCTTCAAATAGGAAATACGAAAACACGTCCAAGCTGGCAAACACCACCTTTTAAAAGAAAAACTCGAACTGGCATCCAAATCCTCTATCTTGCTTACTATAAAATGTATATGTTAGCTTAGGATGCATGATGCCTGAGACAGATTTAGTGCCTGGTACATTTCCAATATTTGAAAAATATGGTGTTCTGCACGCACAACTCCTTTGACAAGATCCTGAGAAAACAGACCATGGCTCCTAAGACGATAAGCCATTTGATGTTGGCTTTGCCTTATATCGTCTTCCATAAGGGATTTTATGACCAATTTCAATTTTTAGAAACTGCATTTCAAAAGCTGCCCTTCACTGCCACAGACCCACAGGAAGAACAACAGTGTGCACCATGGCGTGCCACCACCACCGTGGGCAAGGGAGGCCATGGGTGCCGAGGTCGCCCAGGGCAGCCCTGTGCCAGCCTCCCGGTCTCGTGCTCCCCTCTTCTGCTGAAGGCTGGGTCCTGTCTGGGACTCCAAACCAACTAGCATCTTATGAGAGGGAAGTCCCAGGGTGACACACCCTGAAGTACTCATTAGACAGGAAAACAGACTGCCTCTCTATGGCTGATATAATAACTGGGTCTAGACATATTTTGGACCCTTTCCAATAAATGTTCAAATAATGTTTGAATAAATGTTTGAATGTAATTATGAGAAAGTACGACTAGAGGAATATTGGTATAATATCATATCATGGCCACAACACAAACTATTTTGCCCTAAAAAACAAAAACAAGGAAAAGATTGGTTAAAATAAGAGAAAGCCTAGAAGAATTTTAAAGGAAAAGAAAAAGAAAAACCACCATACCTAACACCTACATATATAGGTGCCCAAGTGACGAGCTTCTGGCAAAGCGAGAGCCAAGTTTCATAAGGGAAACATCAAGGGCAACCAAGTCAAGGTGAGTCTGAAAGTATGCAAAGCAGGAGGCCTGCCAACACAGGGCTCCTTCCAGAACACAGTGTTTCCTCTACCTGCCTTATCAGGTCATCAGCAACAGCAGCGTGGAGACCCCTGGGTTATAGGAATTATATGGCAACTGAGTGCTCCTAAATGGACTTTAAGCAACAGGTATTTCCTGCTTCTGTCCCTCAGGCAATTTAAAGAACTTCACACCTAAGAACTTTCCTAAATTTCTCATTTTGTAGAAAAAAATAATAAGATTCCTCAAGAAAACAGTAAACAGCAAATGGATTACTTAATTCTGTTAACTTGTACTTCTAAGGGTCCACCATCAGTTTCAAAATTGAAGATCAGGACGCCCACTTTAAAGACAGGTACAGCCCCAGCCAGTATTTCTCAGTGGTTAGAGCATTTGGCCCACAGACTGAAGGGTCCTGGGTTTGATTCTGGTCAAGGGCACATACCTAGGTTGCAGGCTTGATCCCCGGCCTCAGTTGAGGTGCGTGCAGGAGGCAACCAATCAATGTGTCTCTCTCACACTGATATTTCTCTCTCTCCCTTTCCCTTCTACTCTCTCTGAGAAGCAATGGAAAAAATATCCTCGGGTGACGATTAAAAAACAAAGACAGACATGTTTCAGGGGGTAGCCAGTGTGCCAGACAATGCAGATGGCTTAGTTTCACATTCTACCTAAGTCCTCCAATGTGAAACAATTGACCTCATATATGTAAAAGAGCACCAATTTTATTTTGTTTTTGTTTTGTTCATGTATTTTCATTAAAAAGTTATTGCGATTTAAAAAATAAACAGAAAAAGAAAAAACAAAGTCAGCACAAGTCAGTTTCCTCTTAAAAAGACACACCACCTGGTTCTTATCTTGGTTCTGCCAGTATTCGCCATGTATTACCTGACAAATTATGGTACCTCCTGAGATCCTCTTTCCTCACCCAGGAATAATTTTGTTGACTATATTAGTTTATCTGGTCCTCACATTTTTTTTTAATTCTCACCTAAGGATATGTTAATTGATTTGAGAGAGAGAGAGAAACATCAATCAGCTGCCTCACATACGCACCCCAACTGGGGATCCAACCTGCAACCTTTTGGTATACAGGACGATGCTCCAACTAACTGACCACCTGGCCAGGGCTGGTCCTTACATTTTTAAAAATATATCTTTATTGATTTCAGAGAGAAAGGGGGAGGGAGAGAGAGAGACACATTAATGATGAGAGAGTCACTGATCGGCTGCAGCCCGCAACCTGGGCATGTGCCCTGACCGGGAATCGAACCCTGATCGCCTGGATCCTAGGTCAATGCTCAACCGCTGGGCCATGCCCGGCTGGGCACATTTTTTAAAAATATATCCTTCTGCTCTCTGACAGGCATCTGAGGTGCCAGGAACCAAGGACACAGTTTGCTAGCATTGCAAATGTTTAGGAGCTGGTAGAAGATGTATGGCATAGCCAAAGAGAAACACACTGCAAGGGGAAGAAGGGAAGGAAGACTGACCGAATAGAGTACCTCCTGTTGTTAAGTGCTGGGCCAGGAACCGTCCCTGGCTGCCTTATTTAATTATCACGAGAAACTTGGTGATAATACCCATCTCTATTTTATACATAAGGAAACTGAGACTCAGAGGTGAAATAAGTTCTCCACGGTTCTGGAGCAAGGACTTGTCTGGGACTTGTTCTAGGATGTCTGTATCTTCAAAACCAAACTCAATCTCCAACATCACAATGCCAGATGCTCAACACAAGGAGGAAATGAAAGGCCTTCCTTTTGACCAAAGCAATGGGAACTACAGACATGGGAAACCCCCCAGGAACAGGCCCAGCCCACTGTGCACATGGAAAGGGAGTTGGGAACCCACCAAGTGGCACTCACCTTGAACTGCACTGCTGCTCAGGCACCATAGCAGCCTGGGATTTCACCCTACATACAGCATGTGCTGAGCTCAAAGGAAGGGACTCCTTTTTTGAAGGCGTACAGTGACTGACACTCCTCTCTTCCCACACAACCAACTGTACCCTAGACTCGTCTCAGCATTCCCGGGCCTCTGGCCTGGCTCACCTCTTTGTGGGAGTCTTTATGGGCTTCCAGAGTCTTCATGATCGTCAGCTCGGCGTAGTTTTTGAATCTTGCTGGCTGGTTTCTCAGAATTTCCCGTAAAACTCTCAATGCCAGTGCTCGAATGGAATACTGGGCACAGGAGGAAGAGACATCAGCACACCACACAGTGTTTCACCACATGCACCAGTTGGCAGGGTCTAAGAGAACCGAGCACCCAGCTCTGGGCTTCCCAGCACCCGCAGGTGCCTCCACACAATTACACTGCTGACCTGACAGGGGCTCCCTGACAGCCAGCTCCATGAGGGCAGGCCTGTGCCCGTGGTGACATTCCCAGCACCCAGCACCTAAGAAGGACCTAATGAAGGTTTCTCAATGAGCCAAATGAAGACCAAATGAGGACAATGTATCTCTGGGGGATTTCCAGATTTCCTGAGGCTTAAACCACCCTTTGTCAGATGTACGAAAGGATAGGTAAAAAGCACCTGAAAAAAGCAACTGCATGACCTGTAAGGCTGTGAACCCTCCAAGGACAGCTGGAGGCCTGTCATTATTCCAGGTCTGCTGCCTGATGAGATCATGGGGGAGGGGATTTGTATAGGCCTTGAGTTGCCTAAGGACCTTGAGGCCCAAGTCATGTGTCTGGAGGAAAGCCATTCCAAACAGACCCCTAATCTCAATGAAAGAGAATGGAGTTTACACCAAACACAGCCAGAAAGTACATCCTGATTCTTTGTCACTCATCTGTACAATTCACAGAACAACACTCCATCCAGCACCCTCCACATGGTATCATTTTATCTCCCGGCCACAAAGCCCAACCACAGAGAAGTGCCTCAGAAGCCAATACTTTAAGAAAAGTTAACACAGACCTTTTATCACCATTCTTCTAGCTTTACTCAGCCCTCTACTATACCAAACCACTAATCCTAAGCATCAGAAAGCAATGGGGTCACCATGATATCCACCACTCTCCTGCTCACCTGTCTTCCATTCGAGTCACCCCACCATGACCCGGGTCATGACCCAGGCTCTGTCCAATTTCCGCCCAGTCCTGCCAGTGGAGCTCTTCAGCACATTCAGGCTACTTTCATTTCTGCTGGCCCACACAAGGCCCAACGTGGAGGGGTGCGGTTTACTTCAGCAACCCCTACATCATGCCCGTCTCCGTAGATGAAACCAGCTTCATGGGGCAAGGAGGCAGGGCTCTGACTGGACCCTCCCTCCTTTAAGAGCTATACAGCAAATGCCTAGTTTGCAAACTACATTTAAATGTCACAGTGTGAAAAGGGCCTTTTATTTTAAAAATAACAATAGAAAATAATAGACAATTATATCAATCCATGGTTCCTGAACCCGTTGTTTGACCATTAGGGTTAGTGAAACTGTGACATACGCTGGGGTGAACCAAGACAAAATTTGGTGGAATGCAGCAAAGGAACTTCTCTGTTTCTCAATTAAACATGAAACAAAGCTCATGGTAAAAAATGACATTTTAAGAAATTTTGTGTTAAAGTGACCTGATATAGGAACAAGTTTCCCTCAACAACTACAAAGCCAATTATAAAAACATGCATATAAACTAGGCTGGAGCCTGTCTGCAAAAACATAACCTTACTACCTGGTGCTCGGAACACAGTTCAAACATGTTTTGATGTAAACAGGAAGCACAGTACCAAGCAAAGCTGAAGCCCAACCCCACAGGACACACTTAACCTATCCCATGGGAAAGGGATGCACGAACACACGGCTCCTCACATCTTTGTCGCCGAGGGTCTCCAGGAGAAGTAGCAGGATGGTCTTGAAGTGCTCCTCCCAGACGCCCAGGCTGTCCTCCCGGGTGATCTTGAGCAGCTCCAGCAGGGCGCCTTTCCGCTCTTCCACGCGCTCGTTGTGGTTGGACAGCTCTTTCAGAAGGTCAGCCACCAAATCCGAATGGTCAATGGGCACTTGAGGGACACAAAAGACAGATGTCACTGTGCAAGGCCGCTGGCTGCAAGTGCTGCCTCAGTGATGCGGCCAGCCTCCCACTTCCCTCCAGTCTCTTCCCAGCATGCCTTCCACCTCGATCTGCGGCCTGGGCCTCACTCTACACCCTTGGCAGGTCATCCCACCAATTGAATCATGAAAACAGAGGTGTGAGAACAGGTATCAAGGACTGACATTCAATGTCTCTACCCTGCCTTACCATCTTTTCCCCCTTCTATTTCCCCTGCTGTTTCATTGATCGATTCAGACAAGAGAAGAAACCTCCCAAAGCCCCTCCTCGACAGCCTTCTTTATCCAAACCCTATCTCCACTGCGACAGTCCTGTCAGGCCCTGCCACTGAACAGCCTCTTCCTAAGATCACACCCATGGAAGTACACACTTTCCTCAAGGCACTGCTTACAAGTCCCGTCTGACCAACATCCATTTCCTCTCGGAACGTCTGGAGTTTGGGAACCAGCACAGAAATAACCACCAGCCAAGGGAGACTGTACAGCTTCCCGAGATCTCTTAGTGTCATTACTTGCAAGGACTCGAGCCCTGGTTTACGTGGCAGAAGAGATCTTTCTCTGCATGTTCTTTTGAGAGACCTCAACTCTGAACTCACTTTAAACAGAAAGGATGGAGAAACAAGCGAGATAAATCATCAGGAACTGCTTCACTTGCATTAGCACATTGTCTTAGATTCTGAAATTGGGGACAAACTCAGAAGAAAGTATGAAATGTTAAAAAACTATCATTCTCCCCCTACTATCCCTTTTACTTCAAGTCTTTTATTATACAGCTGCTGAGTAAATAACAACTAACATCCTAATCTCTGTTCCATCGTCAACAAGACCCAGAAGTGGGTTAAGTGAAATGATGCTCCAATTCTATGAGCAACAAAAGGCAACAGCTCAGTGCTCCAGAAGGTGCCAGCCCCAGCCGACAGTGCTACAGCCTACTGCCCGGCTACAGGCCTGTGGGGATGCACTGCGCTGCCACCCGCCAGCAACGAGCAATTGACAGCCGTGGCCTATGCTTCCCCCACTCGACGCCCACGCACACCCGGAGGCCGTCTCCCCCACGTCAGCACGCGCCTGCCGGCCCCACAGACAGAGCGCAGCCTTCGGCCTTCCGCGCCCTCTGCACCCGCATGTGCCTTGTGAATCTGTTCCCCGGACAGGCCCTGAGCTCTCTGTGCCAGGGACTGTCTCATTCACCTCCCTGTCCCTGGCAAGACACACGCTTTACGACGCACAGCAGGCACTCAGTGAATGCTAATTGTTTAGAGTTCTAATTTAATTTTTCATTCAAAGTTTAAAAACAAACAAAACAACAGGCTTGGAAACAAAACAGATATATGTACGCTTTAAAAAAAAAGACCACTAAGTTGGGTCAGCGTTAGCTCAAGCAGTTCCTTTGTCATGGCAGACAGCTAAAATAACCACAAAGTTGAAATAAACCAAAATGTGTACATAACAATGAGGTAAAAAAACAAATAATTAAGTTCCAAATAAAAATATCATCATACCAAAATATACTTCCTCACTTTTTCCTCAGTAATGGACATGGGTCTTTAACAGAGTCAGATAAAAGCCAGGCTAGTTCTATTCCATACTGAGTACGTTACACTCGGGGCATGTAACTTAACCTTTCTGAACCTTGGTTTCCTAATCTGTGGAATGGAACAGTAGTTGCTACGTCTACTAGACAGTGTGTAAAACACAAGGGCAGCAATGAGCGTGGCAATGCAAGTGCCAGTGCACATCCCAGCCCATCTCCCAGCTGCAGGCAGCCAACGCCAAGCAGTTCCGGTTCCAGGACAGCGGGTGGAGAGAGGAGCAAGCTCCAGTGGTGCTTCAGACCTGACCCCAAGCCCACTGGCCCAGCAGAGCTGCCTCACACTCTTGAGCCGGGTGCCAGGACTGCCTGAGCCTTCGCTCCCCACCTCGCTAACTCCTACTCCCCTATTCTCATGTCCACTCAGGCCCTGGTTCCTGGTGATGCCCTCCCTGGTGGGTACAGTCAGTCTCCTTCACTGCAGCTGTCACAGCTGCAATCAATCTGAGGTCACCTGTGCACCTGTCCACTTCCTGACTGCTGCTGAGATGAGACTGGAAGCTTCTGGAGGGCAGGGACTGTGCATCCTTTTGCTCAGTTTTGCCTTCCATGCCCAAGCACATGGCAGGAGCTCAACATGGAGCTGCTGAACAAAGGACAATCGAACAGACCCCACATTTCCATTTCCATTTGACCAGCATGCTGAGAGTTGGTCTGACAAGAGGGGAAGCCCATGGAAGAAACTTCTGGATGGGGGACAATCAAACAAAGACAGACAAACCATCTCGAAGCTGCTCCATGTCATCGTCAAATACGGCCTCCTTCAGGGCTGTCTTGTCATAGGTATTGATGGTATCCGAGTAGGGGTACAGATTGTAGTCTCGCACCCGTGGCCCAGGGAAGGCGCGCGGAGGCTGGGTGTTGAGGAGGGAGGTCTTGTTATCCAGAGCTGTTCTGCCTCCTTCCACCACATCACTGCCTCCCCGGCCCTCGGTGGCCGGGGATGCAACTCCACCATCCCGGGATACCTGGAACACAAAACACCATCAGTTCCTTTTTAGGACTTTTAACAAACTTGTCTTTAAATTTTCAGAAGTATTAAAAGAGTCAGAGATTTCTCACTTGAAATCTGGCCACGAACAAAAGTTGTTAGAATTTCAATTTGTAAATATCTAATTCATAAACTACTTTAAAGGGAACTGAATATGCTTATATTTTCATTAACTTACAGGTAAAATCCATTTTACTTTGTATGTGTGATTAACTTTACTCAAACATTTTTTTGAGAGATTAGTAACATGAAATTCTGGGAAGTCCTTTGAGAACAAAGCCTGCACACCTGATCCCCACTCTTAGAAATCTCCTGCCAACACTGTAGCCTATCACTTTCTTTACAAACACCAGGGTTTTCTCACCGGAGCCCCGACACAACACCAGCTTGCGCCAATACCGTCACAAGATCTAGCGCAGTCCAACTGTCCGAGAAGTCCTTATATCTAACCATGGCTAATAATCTCTAACAATGGAGGACTCAGTATCCCCTCCAGATCACTGCTCCTGTGGATGTTTCTGACTCTCAGAGCTGGTCTTTATGTTGGGCTAAAGAACAGGTAGTTACAATTTTCTGAAAAATCTTTTTTCTAATATATTCTGAACCTGTCCCTTGTGTGTGTCATGCTCCTGACTGCCTTCGCTCTCAGGGGTCCTTTCTCCTGAGCACAATGGCCCTCTGGTACCCTTTGCAGGGTGGCACTGGAATAAGAGCAAGTACCGCTGACTGCTGGGAACAAAGCAAAACTGTCCTCCTCATCTCAGACATGCGACTAAAAAACGAGTAAAAACATTTTCAGGCAGCCAGATTGCACTGGTGCTTATGCATTTGTTTTTTATAAATTGTGGTATAATACACACATCACTTTAATCCCTTAATTCCAAGTGTACAATTCAGTGACATTAAATCCATTCACAATGTTGCATAACCATTACCACTATGTTAGATTTTGGACAAAATTTTTCATTTTTCCTAACTAAAACTCTGTATCCATTATATAACAGCCCCGCCCCTCCCAGCCCTGTAACCACTGTTCTACTTTCCATCTCTATGAATGTGACCACTCCAGTGCCACATTCCACTGCAATGTGAATATTCCACTGCACCTACACATCATATTTTAAAAATCCATTTATCTGTTGATAGCTCCTGGGTTGCTCCACCTTTTGGTTATTATGAATAATGCTCCTATGAACAATGGCATAGAAACATGTGTTCAAGTCTCTCCTTTCAACTTTTTTGGATTTATATCTAGTGAAATTGCTAGAATGCATTTGGTTAACAACCCCCCCAAAAAAGACTGTATACTAATATAATTACAATTACTAATATAAAATACATGCATGGATATGAACAAAATGACTTAACAGGGACGATAATTCATGGATGATTTTAATTTTTTTCTCTTTGTAATTCTTCTAAAAATAAAGCATTGTTATAATGAAAAAAAAATCATTTATAAAGGGGGAGTTTTAAAGATTAAAGACATTTAAAATATAAAGCTAAACTATCCTAATCCTAATCACTTTTAACAGAAAAATCTTACTTTTTAAACTTCGCTTATCCCCCGTCCTTGTCTACACGCAGATTTTACAGCACACACTACCATGTTTTGTTTTCCTCATAACATAAGCATGCCCCTCATAAATAAAGGTTTATAACCATAATGTTTAATCACACCACTATTTCTACTTGTGTTTTAATAAGATTTACTGAACTATTCCCCTTCTACTGATTCTTTAGTTTTGGCCATTATAGATAATGCTAAAATAAACTACTCTGTGAAAGTAATTATCTTCTTTCCTTTTGCTGAGTTTGTTAAGTTAGACTATTAAAGTATATGAAACAAAAGTCACTTCTGCTAAATATAACTTCGCTAAGCTCCACACGATAGCACCAACTTGCCATGCCGCCAACGACACCAGTCCCTCCAACACCAGTCCCTCACAGCCTTTCTGGCATTAAGTATTGTAACGTCTACTTGAAACAAAGCAGAACAATCTAGAAGTAAAACGGACCTCAGCACAGGTCCTGTTGTGCCCCTGTAACTAGTCCTAAGGATGGACTGTCCCGCAGCGTTCCATGCTCTCCTCTCTGCCTCCGCGAACCGTCTTCTCTGGCTCTGACGTCCACCCTGTGCACTTCCACCTCATTAGACCGGTCAAGCTCACGAGGAAGGAGGCCGGCTCCTGAGGCTCACATTCAACAGTTTTATATCTACCTCAGCCTCTTAGTTAAAAATCTGGTAATGAGGGGCCAAGACACTGAGTTTTAAACCTCAACTCTGATTTTCACTCCCCCTCTTACGCTTCCACCTCCGAGGCACACCCTCCAGCAGGAACAGCCCCATCTCTACAACATTAGGTGTGAAAGTTGTGCTCAATTCTCCTTCTAGTCTTGCAGCTCTCACATTCCAGTCCTTCCCCTCTCCCCACCCCTGACAGAGCTGAGGCTTCTTGAACCAGGCTGTTTACTTTTTCACTACCATGCTTCATTCCTTCCAACTCTCATCAGAGTATTTTTATGCTTTAAAAAGTCGCAAACACTTAAATGTTCCAAAGCAGGGTACTGAGGATGGCTATGGTATAACCATATGAATTACCATCCAGCCACAGAAATTCACATGGAAGAGCAATGACAGGGAAAGTGCTCACATCCTGTGCTAGACAGGACACACACTGTGTCACTTTTACTTTAAAAACACTCTGCATACACCCAAAACATATTAACACATAAAGGAATAGAAAAATACACAGTAAAACGTTAACGTTCATGATCTCTAGAGATGGTGATTTCTTCCCTTTTTGCATTTTCCAAATATTCTATGTTGGCTATATATTACATTTGTAATTGGGAAGGGGAATGCCCCAGGCACTCACCTTCTCCCAGAGCCTCCACTGTTCCCGGCACGACTTCTGTTCGCTAATCAGAGCCCTTCCCCAGCCCCACCAGTTGCTTTGGAAAGCTTTTCCACTTTCCTCACCACAACCGAGTCCCTGGCCTCTTTCCACTGACTGCCCGAAGAAGGTGGGAGCTGTCATAGGGAACCCCCTCATCTTCCTGCTCCCAAACAAAACCTGCTCACCCTCCTTCCTGACTCAGGCCAATTCCTCCACCAGCGCCCAAGGCCCATCCTACCCACGTCCTTGGACCTGTGTCCACCAATCATCCACTCCCCTCCCTTGCACAGTCAGCCTTTTCCTCTCCCCTGGCCCCATCAGCACTCAAGCAGGCGAGTCTCTCCCATGTGAAGCCCCTGAACACCTGCACCTCTCCTGTCTGTTACTTGAGCCACACTTCAACCCTCTGTAACCTGCTTCAACTCTCAATTCTGCTCTGAACTCTGCTCACAAAATCCAAGGGGCTCCTGGAAGAAACTAAATTTGTAAAGTGTGGACTGTGACTATGTGTAAAATTTACTTAAGGAGAATAGGAAAGTGTAAGCAGTGGGCCCATTCTCAAAGAAAAGGTCTTGGCTCTATAGCAAAACACTGCGAGTTTTATGTATTTTAGGTTAACACAGAATTTTAATGTAAATAGTAAATTTAAAAAATCCAATGGAGCCCCTTCTCTCCATAACTGACCTGATGTGATCATGACCACACGCAGCTTGAACCGCCTGGCTAGAGCCTTCTTCCTGAAAGTGTCCCCTTGTTTCTGTGACACCATACTTTCTGGATCTCCCCATCCTCTTTACAGCTTTACTTCCAACTTTATTCTCCTGTCTTTTTCTTAGTGTCGATGCTCCTTTGGATTTTACCTTTACCTGGTTGATTTCACTCACTTTTCTTTAGTTATCACCAAGCAACTAGGTAATCAAGTCTCTATCTCCAGCCTAATTCACAGCCTGAACTTCAGACAGGTATATCCAGAGGCTAATGGATATGTCTGCTTGGATACCACAGGCCTTGCAAGTCACATATATTCAAAAATGAATTTATTACTGTCCAAAGGGGTTACCATATACTCTTTTCCTCCTCCTATGACATTTTCTCGTTGAATTGCACCAGCACCTACTCAATAGTCCGTCAGACTTGTAACTCATCTATTTCTGCTTTCCCCCACTCAATCCAAATTCCTTGGAATTCTCCATCTGAGTGACAGCAATCTTTCTAAAACTTAATGTGACCATGTCACTTCCCTGGTTAAAAACCCTTCAAAGACTCTCCAGTGTCCCCAGTGTAGAGTCAAGACACTGCCTGAAAATCCCCCTGGGTGAGACCTTCCTAAGCCCATCTCTATAGCCTCTTCTCCAAGCTTCCCCCAAGACACAGCATGCTCTTTCGCTCCACTTCAGCAACCCCCAGGGGCTCCTACAATGTCCACTCCCATCTCTCACTTTTTCACACCTGCTCTAACACTCTCCTCCTCAACCTTCATGCTTCAAGTCAGAGGATGAGTCATCTCTTCTGCAGATCCATCCTGGGCACCAGGACTGGCCATGTTGGGTCTTGGTGCTGAGCCCCAGCCACCCACCACACCACAACCTCCTGCTTATTTGCCTGCCTCTGCCTGAGACTAGGGCTCCCAGATAGCCATGCTGGTAACGGATTCAGGCTATTTTTATCACATCATGGGAACAAAAATATGTCCAGCGCAACAAAAGGCATTTAACATCCTTCACAAAGACAACAAGGGTAACTCAAAATTGCCTTGGGCCTCTAAAAGGAATACTCTCATAGAGGCTAAAAATAATGATGAAGTTCAGCAATGACAGTGGTCAGTGTTCAGAGGAATCATTAATTATCACTTAATCGATATACAGTTCTCGATTAGCCTGGAGATACTTACAATATCACAGTCCTTCTTGCCATCTCGTTTAATTGGCTCATTCAGATCCTCTTGGCTTCGAAAACTAAATTTTTCAATGGCTTCTGTAACTCCACGCAAAGAGCTATAGATTTCTTCAGAGTTCAGGTTCTCTGTATCATAGTCCAGCATGCTAAAGATCAAAATATTTTCTTTCTTAAACTGAGGCATATGCAGAGAATTGATATATGTGCATACATTTCTTCCAATAATTTATGTAGAAAGGTATTATAGTTTTGTTTCTTTAGGAGATTTGGAATGAAAAGAAGACGTCTTTTATCAGAGCACCACTGCTGGACAAGTACACATCCTCCTTGTCAAACCTGGTCCTACACACACCACACCAGCACTCAGAACCAGTGGGGAACAATGACCAATAACCACGGAAATGCAGGAACTCAGAGTGGGGACTGGTGACTGAGAATGCGTGAGGTAATCAAAGTGAAAAAGCAACTTTCGTATCTTGAAGATGAAAAAAAGTAGTTTGGTTGTTAACTGGTCTCAAATGTACAAACTTAAATTAAGAGGAATGAGCACTTCAAAATAAAACTAGTATTACAAATTTCAGAGGAGCAAAGACATAACTTCACAAAGTTGGGTTATGCTCACCAGTATCAAAAACGTAAATAAAATCCTGTGTTAAAAAACTAAAAAACCAACCCTGTAACTCAAAGTCAGCTCCACCTTACCAATGGGCTCCCGAGAGTCTAACTCTGTCATCTAACCTAGGAGCCTGCTGGGAATATCAAACCTGTAGAGATGCTTGTACCTGGAGTTTTATAATAAAAACCGATCTTATAAAGATGAGTCAGATTCTAGGAAGATGTCTAAAAGCACTTCAAAAAGCCAGAAATATTTGTCCCTTAAGGGACAATGTGATGCCAACTGCTATCCTTTTAAAAGATTTAGCATAGTTAAAATGAAATGAAGCAAAAATCCTCAACAGCCTTTGGTGTAATGCAGTGTGTCAACAAGTGGCCTTTAGGTGTCTGACGAATGCACAGAAACAGAAGATCCTAAGAACAAAAACCATCAACTGCCCCTCACAAAAAATATTAAAAAAAACATGGATAAATACACGAGTATAAAGAAAGCAGAACATGAAGCAACAATCAGCAAAGGGCAAGTCAAAACTGTAACTCAGTTTAGATGTCACTTATTTAAAAAAAAATCCAGGAAGAGAATAGGTAAGTTGATCTAATGTAGCTTGCAGAAAATCTTGAGCTAGGGACGCTTAAAGTACCCCTGGCTGTATATAAGGAAGCGCTCAGCATTACTAAGGACAGCAACCTCTCTGTTCCTCTAGAGAGAAATCACTGAAGTTAAAAACCACTGGCAGGAGCCCTTCCTAAGGACAACACAATCAATCCTGTATATTCTCACAAGGAACGTTTCCTATCACTTAAAAACAAATAACATTTACTAAGCCCCTCCCCTGTCTTTTGTTTTTTTAAAGGCTTGGGTGGGGGAGGAAGATGAGAATTGGGCAGTTCTCACTAGGAGTAGGTAGGTTGGCCTGAGGCTGCAACAATCCAAGTGTTTTCTAAGGCCAGTCAGGTTCTGCTGGGGCACAAGATTGAACTCACCCTTAGAGATGGAAGCTATCTACCTAAAATTGCAAAACCTGCCCAAGATAGAACTCACTTTTCTGATGAAAGAAAATGCACACCCCAACTGTACTTGAACAGTTCACAAAACTACACACCAACTCAACAACTGGCTCTGGCGTCAAAAAGGAACAAACAGATGAAATTCCATGGATACACTGACAGGAGGTGGGATAGAAAATGTGAACAGAATTCACGAAGTCCACCCCTTCTAAGTTCCCAAGGTTCTCCATCTATGAGGAATGTCCCTTTAATGTGACGAAGCCCCCTGCCCCCCATCCCCCAGCACCACGATACCACTTATGTAGGAGCAAAAGCATTTATACATCTGGCCAGTACACGGTTTTTAATATATAAAGACTGAGTATAGCTCAAACAAAAAATATGTATACGAGATGTAAAAAGATGTCTTAAAAAACTTGGAATAAAACAACCAAAACTAATAACATGGCCCATGCAAAATGAAGGAAAAGTGATGGGATGGACAAGGGAAGCCCAGCAGGACGTCCCGCTTTTTAAGGGATGTCACAATATTATTTTCCATGTCGCTTCAGACGATGTTAGCTTTCCCAGAATTCATCTCATTTTTCTTAATCTGAACCTTAAACCATTTCATTTCACGTAACTTTAGCATTATAGTAGTCTCTTTTTAAAATAAGAAAATAAAGGATTCTGCCAGTGAATGTTCCTCCTTCTTACTTTCGATTAATAAAGCAACTCAGACTCCAATTTAGGCGCGCATGTGCATGACCAAATCCCAGCTGTGGTGCCGCTTCTCTTAGACTCGTGGCTTGAGGTCTGGAAGCGGCTCCTTGGCAGGAAGCAAAAACTGTGAGCTCCAGGTGAGACAGACCCTTGTTTTCCTCTGACAGGAATGGTGCTACTTTCTTTGCTATTTTATGCTTTGGCTTGATGTCTTTTTTCAAATACAACCTATGAGTCCTCATTTCATACAGAAAAAGGAAACTCCCGTGAATGCTGTCATCAGGGAACTGCAGACACTGTGGTCCCAACAAGCCCAACGATGAGACGTGCAGAAGCTTCACTCAGAAAAGACCCCGGCCCGTCGCCTGTCCCACACTCAGCTCAGAGACAACTCTAGGGCGTCATCCTTCAGGGTAAAGGCCAGGCCCTGGTCACCTGTACACACTGTGATTAAAGCCCAGAAAGGTCTCCTTAGGATCTTTTAGATTAGGAAGAGATGCTCCATCGGCCAACAGTCACTGACCTAAGGCCAGGCAGTCAGTCACCCAACACTGAAGCAGAGTAAAGCTCTGGACTGCCCTGCTCTGAGGGGTTCCTACGACAGGCAAGGAGGTGCATGAGGTCAGGTCTCCAAGAAAACAGAAACTGCCTCCTTAGACGGTCTTTGTTATTTTGTAGGGAAAAGATTCTAGGGTACCGAAAAAGGATAACTGTTCTTGTTATGAAATAAATACGGTTTTGGCACAAAGAGACAGAGATTTACTCTTAGTTTTATGTAAGCAAGGTTTTCTAAATGTAAAATCTCTAGTCATCTCTCTTTCCCACCAACGGTTACCAGAAGTTATAGGCATTGTTGAGCACCAGCTGACTGCTGTGAGCATGTGTGGGAGATGGCTCTGGGAGCAGGGTATCCTCTGGAGGGCAGTCCTGCTGGCTGGCTGGGAAGGCCAGCTGAGGGTGAAGCTAGAGCTCATCAGGGCACACAGTCAGTATATTGGGAGATGGTTAATAAACTGATCTTATACCTTGAGGCCTAATTAATCTTTTTTAAGAAAAAGGAAGTGTAGCAAGTGCTTTATTAACACAGAGGACAGCAGTGACACCCCATTGTGAGTGTGCCCTTGCCCTAACCTTGCGTGTCTACGTCGTACAGGATTCTCTGCATACTTCAGAAGTTACTTTTAGAGCTGTAGGTTTCAAAAGAAGGATGTTGTTAAAACATTCAGCTGACCTGTTTACTATGTACAGCCGCGCTGTGTTGACGACACAAAAGCAGGAATGTGAATCTTCTGTGCCAAAGCTCCCTGCAGCGCTCAGAAGTGCTTCGCGCTTACCTAACCTATCAGAGGGCACAAGCTCATCAGACAAAACACAGCATTGGCTCCCATAACTGCACCTTTCAGGGGAGGGACTCTCTGGTCTCTGAACCTTTATAAAAAGTGCCTACGAGCTGCCCAGGAGGACCTAGGATCCAGGAGATCTCGGTTCCATTCCCAGTCGGGGCACATGCCTGGGTTGAAGGCTCAATCCCCAGTGGGGGGTGTTCGGGGGGCAGCTGATCAATGATGACTCTCTCATCATTGATGTTTCTGCCTCTCTCCCTCTCCCTTCCTCTCTCTGAAATCAGTACAGATATATTTAAAAAAAAACAAAAAATGCCTAAGAGACCCTCCAGCTTTCTGTAGGAACATGTGACCCTTGCTCTGTATCACAGATTTACCATCTGAAGGAAGCCCCACCCCTTCTTCCAGATTCATTAGCATTGTCACATTAACCCAGGGGTTTGTGAGGATACCAACAGCTCTTCTGCCTGGAGGCAGGGCTCCTTCACTGCGATGTAAATAATGTCCTTCCCTTCTGGATCTGTTTCCTGAGACTATCACAGGTGACAGGACATTAAAAAAGTTATCAGTCCACACAATCACTAGCAGGACTGAGAGCTGCAGGTATAGTTTGACTTGCTTCTTAGTGGGAATGCCTTGTACACCTGAGAAGACTGCTAAGGAAACCACACTGTTGTCTGCCTTGACTTCATGCACTGCCTGGGAGCCTTCTGGGGAGTAGGGGCTGAGCACCACACTGGGCTGGAAGGCTTGCCATAGGAGACACTGATGAAATGGTCCTCTGTCCTTGTGATATGGTAGGAACCATACTAGTGAGGTTCAACAAAGATCACACACCTGCTCACACTTCTCACCAAGGCTCTCCTCCTGCTAGTCTAAGCCAAAGCAGGGACCACAATGGAGGCAATGGAGGCAGCTGAGAGGCTTTCCAAAAGACTGAGACGACCTTGGAAACGCAATAATATTGTGACACCTCAGACAAGTTTAACAGGTAGCTTGTTACCTGGGAGAGTAAGAGCGCCTGAGAGTCTTGTGGGAGGGAGCGGTGGGGATGGAGTTGGGCTGAGAAAAGGGAGGTGGGTGCTTCGATAGCCCATCGGCACTCCAACCCCATAACCGACTGCAGTGATCAGAAGAGGAGAATCAGAGAGAGAAGCAAAAAAAGGCAAAGGGGAAGGGAGGAGGAAGGGGGGAGGAGGAAGCTATATTCTAAGTGTCTTAGAGCCTCCCCTTTCCTTGGCAAAGTTCTCTCAAAATTCATTGGAGCAAAATTAATACTTCACCATACAGAGAAAAAGAACATGTTCTGCTTTACAATTTGGTCCTTAATAAGACTGTTTAATCCTTTCCCTCTCAATCATGCATTTACATTTTTAAATCACGTGAGATTCCGAGTGCAAGTGTAAAGCGTGTGCACCTACATTGGGAAGGACATTACAGGCACTTAAAAAGTATATGGACGCTCAGTTTCAGATAATGCAATCAATTATTTTACAAAGAATCAAAGAAGAAATTATGGGCCTTAATTCAAATGGGACCAAAGGGACTATAGCAGGAAGACTCAGAGAACATGACCAGAGTCTGGGATTCAATCAGATGGGAGCTCTGAGGCTGCCACAGCCATTTCCTTCTGAAAGAGGTGCATCGCCACTAGAAGACTAGGGCACCAGCTCTCAGCTGGCCAGTTCAGAGAGAGGGGAGCCAAAATTGAATTCCTCTGCTCGTATCACCGAATACGAAAATTACAATTCATCTGAGAACACAAATGTTCCTCTGCACTTCACAGATGTCACTAAGTAACCTGGGCTTGCAAGAGGCCCCCCCAGAGAGTTCTAACAACTGCTACAATTGGGGAGAACCAGGGACACTTGGGAAAGAGGTGAGCCAGACGGGCTGGAAATGTGACATGAGGCCTGGGTGGAGTCTGGTATCAGAGACAGTCCCTGCACAGCAGTACTGCCTGCGGCTGGCCTTCCTCGCAGCTCTCAGAGCAGTAGGTACGAAGCTTATCTCCACCTGAGGACAGTTATGACACCATTTTGTAAGGAAAATAAAGTGTGGAGATGAGAGTCACTGTGGCATTAAAGGGCCTAAAAACAGTCTCTAAGTCACACACTGGGTGGGGGGAGGATGACTATCGCGGCTGGAGCTCCGCTACCAGGCAGAGGGTGAAGTGGGTCCCCACTCCTCCCGCGAGGGGCCGTCTCCACTGAGCCTGCCGTGATTCTATGGATGGCCTTGGCCCTCCGGTGGGGGACACAGGAAACCCACCCAGAGTGGCCTCTGCCTGCCAGGGGCAACAGGTCACCCAGTCAGTGCCCCTCTGCTCCACGACACGCCTGCCAAGCCCCAGAGGGAGGATGGCCACACACTTTCTTTTCTTCAAGGAAGTGGTTTCATGTAATTTCTAAAGGCCTCGTAACTCTGTTTGTCATTCAACATAAATCCTACTGGGTAAAAGTGTTCAATGATGGAAAACTGCAGTCCTAAGACTCCTCTCCAAATACTCAGCAGTGTTTGTTTACTAGCTGCGTATAAGCAGTAATTCCTCCCTCACCCAGAAATAACGGAATGTTTCACAAAGCTTAACCTGCAGCTATGGCTTATCTAGTACTATTGGCTTAATAAAAGTGACTTCTTCAGTAGTGATTTCTTAAAAAACTACCAAAGTAGATTTTCTCATCATTTTAGAATATTTCCTTATTACCACCATGATCCAAGTATAGAATTTTTGGACAAAAAAATAGTCCTATAACCAGTAATAACTTCTCCCCTTAAGAATGAAAAGCTACTATCATATATGGTTGACTCAAAAGAATGCAGGTTGCAGAAAATAAGCGTTTCAAGAGCACTGCACCAGAAAGCAGCTGAGGTCCTACACGGGAGAACTGGTTATACCTCCCCAGAGGTCGGTAGCCTAATCCATTCTCCTATTTAGAGAGAACTGGTTATACCTCCCCAGAGGTCGGTAGCCTAATCCATTCTCCTATTTAGTGCAAGAGTTCCTTTCTCTTATAACTTTCCTGGTAGGAAGTATGTAGCCTATTTGAATATTTCCAGATATGATGCTGTGAGGCAGTTTTTTCTACTTTGGGACAGCTTTAGTTGAGAAAGTCATTTCTCCTATGAGTATAAACTTGGCCAAGGCCATCTGGCTAGTTAAGCAGTGACTAGGGAACATTGTTTTTAAAAAGAAAGAAACTACACAACTAAATAATTCCCTAAAGAATTTTTTGAGAAAAAATATTTAGGCCACATTTGGATGTTTTAACATAGAAAATAAATCTCTTCATTTCTTCCACTAACCTGCAAACCCTAACAGTCAACATTAAAGTCAGGCCAATTAAGAATGAAAAATAAATTAAAATTTTTAATAATTTGTGGATCCCTGAGATGAATACTTAGACAATTCTTAGTTCTGATGAATTATGGTGGCAGCTCCCAACAATCTTTTAGACTATTAGCACATTTAATAAAATACTAAATTTGAGTTTTACTTTTTGCTTATTACCTAAAGAATGTGCCCTTTGCATAACAAAATAATTAAAACTTAGGATTTGTTATTATGAAAGAACAGATTTCCCATTAATATAGCAAAGTATCACTTTGAGACAAAAGCAACAATTTACAGAGAACCAAAGTTTTCCCTAAAGTTCTCCCCACCAAGACAGAGACCTCTGTGACTTTACTGTCAGCACTGACCCCTGAAGACAGTCATACACTTTAGATACAGACACAGATGTTAACATTAAAAACAATCTGTGGCTAAGCCTAAGTCACACTTGGGGAAAGTCAGACATATTTTCATTAGTTTCCAGTCTCAAATGTCTAATGAGAGTAGCTTGCTCAGTCATGACAACAGACCAGGTTTAGAGATGTAACATCATACTTTAATCTACTTATTGTGTGTGTGTGTGGGGGGGGGGGCGAGGGGCGGCTTAGGCTTAGGGTGATTAAACCTAAGGCAATAAAGACAGTAGGATACTGTAAGTCTACAAAATATTTTGTTTCACCAAGAGAAAAATACAAATTTGATGTATCCCAAAACATTTATATGATAAACTGAAGAACCGAAGAAGAGAGGAGTATGGGAGACTTTGATCATTTAAAAATCAAAATTTAAAGGCACTCATGTTTTGATTACCTTCCTACTGAAGAGGTAATCCTTAAAGGGAAAATGGCACACTTGTGGTATTTTCTTATAATTTTAAGGTCTTGATGTCAGCAACCTTAAGACACAGTCCCTTGATTCTCCTTGTCCGTGATCCCAAAGATCTGGGCTTCTTGTAGACACCACCACCTATGACAGCATAGACCCTTGCAGGTCCAGGCACTGGCTCCTACCTAGGAAGTCTGGCCTAGAGACTCACTTCTCTGAGAGGAGGCCATGGGGGCCTCCAACACATGCCAGGAGGCCGCTAAAGCTACCGTGCAGAGACTGCTGTAGACTCTGGCCAGGTAGCGCAGGGGTCACTCATGATCTCAAGGTAGAGCACTTTCTCTTCTTCAGGCACTGCCTCAGACTGACGTTCACATGAGTCTGAAAATGCTGATCCAAATTCAGTCCTCAGGATCTCACTCCCTCCTCCAGAGCAGCATTCGGCTTTCAAAGTGCGCCCTCAATGATAGCAACTATGCCTGGGATGGCCACTAAGTTGGAAAACTACCCCAGACTATGGGTGGATAGGCTCTAAGGACTAAACACTGTCTCCAAGTGCTCCACCACTTAGGGAACTGGTGATGAGTTTCCAGTGATTTCTATGTGTAGCGGAACTAAATGTAACTTTTCAGTTTCAAAATCTTTAAGGTACTGGAAAGTGTTTAGAGCTAGAAGAATCTCAGAGAACATTCAGCACAAACCACTCGTTTCCCTGTAGAAGTTAGCCACTCTGCCCAAGATAATTCTGTTAGGATTTGACTGAGGACTAGAATCCTGGCCCCCACACGCTTTTTGATATTAAGCTTGGTCAAAAATATAAAAATAGGCTAGACAGACATTGGGGTGTTTCAGTTTCTTCACGTCTGTTGAACCTGCATTACCTTGGAGACAGGCCCCCATGGGAACAGTTGGTGGGTGAGGTCAGGGGGCTGGTCCTGCTGCTGGTGTGTCGGGAGGGAGTCCGGCCAATTGTATTGCTCGGAGAGCCCTGGGTGAAGGCAGAATAAGCATCATTACTCCAGGGCTAATACAGAATATGGTCCACTTTTCCCTTGGCCTTTTAACCCAAATGTAAATACATGGGCAGAATTTGTACAATTGCATGGCCAATTTTAAGTGCACATTAAACCAACAATGGATGGCTTTCACATAGACATTCCTGAAGTTGGATAACCGATGTCAGTTGTGCTAGAGTAATAGATATAACTGACCATTTACATCTTGACGGTATAAAACTCAACAAATAAATGACTAAATATAAAAATTTAACTGACTGAATAACCTAACTTAAGAAAATGGCCATATTGCCCTGGCTGGTGTGGTTCAGCTGGTTGAGCATCACCTTGTGCACTGAAAGGGGCCAGTGCGATCCCTGGTCAGGGCACACGCCCGGGTTAGAGGCTCAATCTCCAGTAGCAGATGCGTAGGAGACAGTTGAGCAATGTTTCGCTTTCACATCAATCGTTCTCTCTCTCTTTCTCTCTCCTTCTCCCTCTCCCTTCTCCCTCTTTCTCTTTCTCTCGCTCTAAAAATCAATATAAAAATCTTTCAGAGAAAAAATAAAATGGCCATATTTAAATAGCAGGTCCATTTATTCATTCATTGGGAATATGGCAAGATTAAACCTGGTCTCCCACCCTTGAGACGTCCGCAATCTATTAAAAGAGAGTAAGCAAGCTGGCTGTTAGAGCAAGCTGTAGGCGAGATACACACAGAGGCCATGGCCAGTCCACAACGGCACAGACTGTGGCCAAAGCACTCACCACACTGGTGTTACTGGAATTCTTGAGGTGGTTATGCAGGAGTTTGGTGGCACCATCCTGGAATGTTTTGGGCAAGGCACCAAGTAACATGGTAAATTCAGGAGTGTTCAATTCAAACAACGAAATTAGCACAATTTGTGCTGCCTAGGAAAAGAAGACATGATTAATTTACATAGCGTACAATAGCACATCTTGGTCAAAATATTCATTAAAATTGTTTTTAAAAGAAAACATTTTTGTATGAATAAAATAAATAATGAAAGGACATTTTGCCATTAAAAAAAATAAATAAATAAAATAAGTCTGACTTCTACCTGGAAAACAGGTCCTGGTTACATTTTAATGCCCTGGCCTTGGATTCCCATAGCACACTCATAATAAATCCCTATAACTTTTCCTATGTTGTCTGGCACTAGGAATGAAGCTGGTAAATACATAAATAAGACTGTTCACTCTAATAAGTCAGACCTGGACAGGGCTCCCAGTGCACCCTGGAAAGAACAAGTTTCTACACCAGCTCCCCGGAGTGACCTTGAGAACCCACCTTCCCTCAACCCCACTCCTACAAACTGAGGACTATTAGAAAAAGAGATTTTAAATACATCTGAAAAATCCTACTTTCACACCTAAGAACTGAGGAGAGAGACACTTTGGGAAGCAAAGCAGAGTTACATGGTACAAATTAAAAAATCTTTTGCCTTTTAGAAAATATTCTACTTTTCTTTATTAATGAGACATCATACTTCAGGACTGTTTGTAATCACTATAGCAGCAAAGTGGGAAAAGCAATTAGCTGAAGCAATAGTAGCCAAATGAGGCTCCAACCTCCCCAGCAAGCCGTGCTTTCTATGGTGCTGGTGTGGCAGCCGGCAGGCTTAGCTTAAGCATGATGCCTAAGGAATTAGTTACAAGGTTTTGATTTAGAAAAACTATGCCAAAGAAAAGTTTACTAAGTACTAACTGGCATTTCCTACAAATTTCTAAGAGTAAAAAAAAAAAAGGGAAGTACATTATGAAAATCTTTTGACTAAAAGTATAAATTAATTTTTCCAAAGACTGTAATTTTTTATAATACTGTGAATATTTTTTCTGATGATACATAATATTACAAAAAAAATCTGCTGAGAAATTCTTTGGAAATAAACACCACAAAACAGTTCAATGCTTTTACAATGTGAAAATTAATTCTAGGTAAAGATAAAACTACTGTCTATGCCAGGAGAAAGAAAAAAAATTCCAAAGACCCAAATGTATTTAACCAAAAATAAAATTTAATTATTAATTTTAAAATATCATTAGGATGTTTTTTACAGAGTAATCAAAAATTACTTTTCAACGTGTCAAACATACCTATAGTCATTCACTATGCACAGCATTGGGCAAACATACCTTACTTTTCTTTTCTTGACCTCCAAACACAGGCATTAGTAACCTTTCCATCCAAATTAAATCACAGCAGCCAGTTGCTTTCATGACATGCCCAAAATGTTATTATAATTGTACTAATGTATACATTTCTATATCTCATTATTGAATCCTTCTTAATAAATCATTATCTGGAGGAACCAATTTCACGACCCATTTAATATACTAGAGTAACATTTCAATATTTGTATAAGAGCAAATTCCAAAAGTCATGCTAAGTAACCTGTGCATTTTAAAAACATTGTATTAGATGTTAGAAAAACTGCATGCAGAAAAACTGCACTTCAGAGAGAAAGAAAGCAGCAGACTTAATTTAGCAGGGGAGGAAATCAATGCTGACCAAAATGTAGTAAGAAAGTTTAGGCATTTAATTTTTTTGTTGACTGAAAGTGACATTTAAAAATTATAAAATGGCAATAGTATATTTAATTCGAAATGTGTCACTGTCTTTACTTCCCAGAGTGACATGATAGCTAATGCCACAAACTTACTTGAGGTTTTACATGAAGCAAATTATAAAATTAGCAGATCTTTTAGGAACAGGAAGGCTGAAAGATGATAGGCCTAGAAATTGTGCTAATTCATGGCTACTTAACACTAGTGACTTTCAGTCATGTGGGAAAGGAAAGTGCAGTAGACTTTAACTTCTGACCCACTAATGAACTTCCTCTCAATAACACAAAAGTTGAATTTGGATAAGAAATCAAATAGAAAGACAGGGAATTTTGAAAATATGACAGGATGGGCAGATGGTGCGTGTGTGGGATTTATACATATAAATATTGATTTTATACAGTTTTCAAAAGTCACCCTTTGGCTTAAAGCTGTTTTCAAAGTAAAATATTTTTCTGATGAGATTCAAGCTCTAGAAATGGGTAAAAAGTGTCATTTAAATATATTATTTTTAGAAGATTTTAAATCAAAGTTTCAAAAGTGTATGGTCCCAAGATATTTTATCTACAACACTCTGCATTGGTGAGAAGTCAGAATTCTAGAATCCAGGAAGAAAACTGGGTTACAGTTATCACATCAATATGCTCACATTAAAGGAATAATTCCAAGTACTGGGAGGAGGGGGAGAGATTCATTAAAAAAAGCCTGGGGCATAGCTCACGTTCAGTGATGAATCAAGTGGAGCACGTTCTTGTCCCATCTTTGGGCTCGTGCCTTCCACAAAAGGCACTAAGTAGACAAACAAAAGCCTCCAGAGAGCTGCTGACTTTTTCTAATGGACAATTTATTTTAAAGATTAATAACAACTTTAAAAAGAAATGATTGCCACTCACGCCCCTACAGTAGAATTTAGGGCGTGAGGGAGAAGGGTTCTTCAAATGCCACCACCACTGTGAGAAGAGCTCCTGGGTTGTCCCCTGCTTCAGATGCTGTGCAGCTCACAGAGAAAGCCACCTTCTAGACAAGAGACTGCGAAGCTCTGACACTGCTCCAGCGCTGATACTAATCGGGAAGCTTAAAACTGGGAGGATGAGGAGTGTGCTGAGTAAGCAACTATTACTGCTCCCTTCGGATTGTCATTAAAACTGCTGTTGAAAATCACCAAAGAGAAGGTATTTCAAAACCTTCAGACATTTCTTATTTAGAATCTGTCCTTTACTGTTCTATGAAAATAGGGTAGAGGCCTGCACTGGACGTGGCTATTTCTTTGGAAAAGGAGTTAATCATAAAAACATAGCAACACACAAACATTTACAGCTAGCTACACACAAGCTCACATAAAATTATATTAATTTTAGGTTTCTTCAAAATCTTCTCAAGTGTCTTCACAAGAGTAGTCAGTATTAATATTCTAAAGTGCAAACAGCAAAGCATCTTTTCAAATAAGCAGTTTTAAATCTACCTGTTTACAATTTTCTTCCAAGTTTCCTTCTCCAAGCCCAGAGCAGGTTGAAGTTGACCTAGTGGGGAAATCCTCACCTACTCGACTACGCTGAAGCGGGGACGGACAAACAGGAAAGGTGGCAGGATTTAATCAGAGAGAAGCAGCAGCGCTTAAATAAACCATGGTTACTATAAGCTGGAAAAGTATTTGGTTTCTTTTAGAAAATCATCCACACGTATAACCTAAAGCTAAAATTAAGAAGACTAACAGTAACAACTACCAATTTTAAACCCCAATCATTTGCTAGGATCTTAATAATCACAATCCTTCCTGGAAGGAACAGTCTTCTTGCCCTGCATGAGGAAACAGAAGGTCAAAGAGTTCTAAGTGAGACCTGAAAGGGGCAGTCACAGTTAAGCCAAGATGAAAATCGGATGGTAAAACTCTTAGCTTTCAGTAGGCCACAGTGCCTATCTCTAATCAGAACTTGAACTTTTTTTCAATTTTTGAAATTTCAGCTTTTGAATGCTATTTGTATACTTTTCCTGCTCCAGTCTTTATACTTTCTAGGGTTTTGTGTGTTTTTTTCCTGCCATGTCTTCACTTCTCACATTTCTCAAAACATTTTGGGGGCCAAATCTGTTACTTCCTCTGACAAAGTAGGTGCTAAATGTTAGAGAATCACATATGATAATCAAAGGGATTCTGAATCCTAAAATATAAACATGTTATTCAAAATTCTATTGTCATTACCACATTCTCTCTGACTGAGGAGAAAAAAAAAATCTTCCTAATGCCAGAAAAAAATTAGGTTCAATTTTTTCCCACCAACAGCAACAACAAAACCAAAACAATCCTCAAACAGTAATAGCAAGAGCTACAGCAGTAAATAACGCACTATTTAGCTGAGTTTTTATATTCTTTATTGCAATCAATCCTACCAATAATGTCTAAAGTATTATTATTCTCATTTTACAAATAATAAAAAAGGATTCAAAGGTTAAATTACTTGCTCATGCCACTAAAGAATGGCAGAGGCAGCCCTGGCCAGTGTGGTTCAGTGGCTAGAGCATTGGTCCTTGCACTGAAAGGTCTCGGGTTCATCCCCAGCCCTGGTCAGCGCATGTGCGGTAGGCAGCCAATCAATGTGTCTCTCTCACATCAATGTTTCTCTCTATCTCTCTCCCTCCTTCTCTCTCTAAAAATCAATAGAAAAAATATCCTCGGGTGAGGATTACCAAAAAAAAAAGTTGCAGAGGCAGAAGTCAAAGGGAGGTCAAACTCTAGAGTCCACTTTCTACTGTTAATACATTATATTATCTTACCAGAAACACAGTACATTAAGAAAGGTCTAGTACACTTCTGTATAGTTTGGTCAACACTAGTCAGGACTCCCACACTAGAAAAATGAAAGCAGTTTCTCTGGGAATGCAACAGCCCAAGCGAAGTCCGGGTGGGCTTCTCCACTGAGGCCGCCAGTGGGCCTGATGAGCACACGGGCTTGTGTTCTGACTTTGGTGGCTGTGCTTCTTCCTCCTTTTCAAAACATCTCAACTATGTAAACCCCTCTCTCTCCAATATGAAATACTCCAAAACACTAAGATAAAAAGGGAAACAAAATATTAAAAATGATGAAGTAAAAATATCAGAGTGTCTTCCCAAATAGGACCTATTAGATATGGAGAATGAATATACTGTCTACAAACTTCCCAAGTATTATCTGCATAAAATTAATCCTCTCCAAGGATGGGGCCAATACGAAAGTTTCCTGCATAGATTTCAGACTGAAGGGCTTTTCTAGTATTTAGAATATAACCTCACTCTACTGAGAAATTAAAAGACAATAGAACTTGGTTCATGATCACAAAGTGCTTTTAAGTCACTGAGATTTCCCAAGCACCTGATATACCTTTTAATAACTGCAAATGGAAGAGGCAAAACATACATTTACTTAAAAGAAACAGGTAAGAGTATCTTTAGTGGATTAAATTATCCAGATAAAAATAACCTGTTTTATTTTTTTCAGCTTTGAAATGATAATCACAATTTTAGATCTTAGAGCAGAATAATAAATAATCACAATTTCTAAATGTTTTTAATTTAGGTACTACATTCCTTTAGACTGTCTTTCAAATGCATTTCCAGTGCTTGGGGAGTAAGGCAGCTGCATCGCCTACAACAGCATCTATATTAACATAATGTACAATGGATGGCACATGAAAACAGAGCATTCACATAAAGTGAGTCTTCGGGAAAAATTAGTCTGCAATGCCCTGATGTGGGTAAGTGGTTATGGGCAAAAGAACATCTACTTGAATCCCTCGTCAGTGCTGGGCATGCACAACTGAAAGCCAATGTAGATGGTTCCCAGAAAGCGGAGGTGTACCTGCTAAGCTTAACCTTATCACGATTAGTTAGTTTAAAAAGCTTCATATTTAAGCAAAAGCTAAGGAATTACCAAATAACTATGGAAGATTGCTGCCAACCTACTTGGTAGGCAAAACACTGCGAAGGCCCGTTTCCCATCTCCTGCTGCGTAAGCCCTGCACGATCCCTCCTCTAGAGTGAGTGGGACTCATGACAGTGATGGAGCATCACCCCAGAGTTATTTCACGGCAGAAAGGATCCTGCAGATGGAACTGAAACCAGTGTTGATCAACTGAGAATCTCTTGGGTATGCTGAGCTGCTTCCTTCTTGCTGCTTTAAAGGTTCTTTGTCTTTGCTTTTCAAGTGTTTTATTATGATGTATCTAGCTGTGGAGCTCTTTTTAAATGCTACGTGGAGTTTCCTGAGCTGCTTAGCTGTATCAATTAAGGTTTTCATCAAGTTTGGGACATTATTTCTTCAAATATTCTCCTGCTGGCTTTAAAGAAGCGTACTGCCACGTTGTGGAGACAACCAGGTGACAGGAGATGGCAAGAAGCCTCTGTGAGCTGAGATCGCCCCCTGTTGACAGTTGGCAAGAAAGCAGGCACCTCAGCCCTACATCTAAAAGGAACTGGATTTGGCCAAGAACCAGGGAGCTGGAAGAGGAGCTTTGGCCTCAGTGAGATGGAAGACCCAGACCACACCTTGACTTCAGTCTGGTGAGGACTTGAGCAGAGACCTGGACAACACGTGCTGGGCTCCTGAGCCACAGATCTATGAGATCATAAACCTGTGTGGTTTTGAGCTGCTAAGTTTGTGGTAGTTATGTAAGAGAAAACTAACACAGAAGCCAAAGAGGGGAACTTTCAAGACTATGATTTTGAAAATAATACCTTCAAAATGTTACTTGAAATCAGGTAATTTCTCTCTGGGTGTTTAGCATTCATTATTAATTCATTCTAAGTAGTTACTAAATGCCTACTTTGTTCCTATGGGCACTGTGCTAGGTGCTGAGCACACACGGTGAGCAAGAGCAGGTAGTGGGGAAGGCACGGGGAACAGCAAGGCCAGACCCAGTCCTAAAGATCCTGAGGATCGAGGTTGGGTACCAGGTTAAGACTACATCTGCAATCTGTATGGCTTGATGTTCAACCCCAGAGTAATCATCTAGAATAAGGGGTCTCAACTCTGTATATTAAAAATCAGCCAAGAATAGAGGAAATCCCAATCATTAACAAAACAATGTCCAAGGTCTACTCCATACCAATTAAGTCCAATTACTTTTAGTCTGAAAGCAGAAATGTGGCTTTTAAAAGTCCTTTTATATAAAGGCTAGTTAGTTTATATATAAAGTAAAAGAACAAAAGCCACATCTGAAATTTAAGCATAAAAGACCATGACACTGACAGGAAGAGAACAGAAACAATGCACACAGAAATGCGTGATACCTGCTTTGTGCTTATGATGGGTCAGGAAGTGGTTAAATGCTCTACATATATTAATCAATCTTTGTAATAATCCTGAGGCAGAATACTACCTAGCAATAGAAATAATAGTATCCTGTGCTCTCTGCTTAATGTGCCATTTCCGAAGAAAGTAGCAAATGTATCTCTTCAGGGGCTTAAAATACAACAACAGAACAACATGTTGGTATCAGGGTGTCTCAAAAATCTGAATTTTACCTCCCCACCTCACTCCTCAAATCAGAGAGTTCCAAATGTGGTATAGAACGGGAAGTTTTGTGCTCTTTTTAAATTCAAGAATTCATTATATCTTAGCAAACTTTCAACCACATTTTACTATTAGGCACCTTATGGTCAGGTAGCCTTAGACCTGCAAGCCTATCTTCAAAGTACACGTCATAAAACTGACATAAGGGAAATCAATTTCTTGGAGAGACATTAAACTGCTTTCACATTAAAAAGATAAACAGATGCTTAAGAAAACCATGAACACCTCTTACAAGATTTCAGATTTTCAATTTAACATTCAGAGACTGGAACAATGTAGAGCTGGAGAGAGAAGATACGGGGCAAAAGACAAGTCTTGGCTTTCACAGAGAAGGAGGGAGAGGTTTGCCTGCAGCTGTGTGGAGTGGTTCACAAGTCTCTGGACAAGGTTCTTCTCTAACACTGCTAAGGACAGCCCGTCAGTAAAGCTGCGCTGCAGCTCCCGTGGACATACCTTTCTCACGTCTGAACTCTTTGGTTCTGTTGTCCAGGTTATAATTCTAGAAACAGCAAGCCTGGTCTCACTAGAGTTTATAAAATCTGTTGGATCCATCTGTCGGGCAAGAGACTCGATGTACTTCAGGATTGCAACTTTGACCTGAAAGATCCAATAATTATAAACATTAAGTACACTTTGTAAATCTTTGAATAGAATTCTTAACTGATGAGAGAAAAGTAAACACTGCTGAGGGGACACCACCTTTCTGTGGGATTTATGGTTCCACATGGAGCCGGCATTTGGGAACAGGAAGAGTGGCATGCAGCTTCATGCTCTGCGAGCCCTGCTCCCCGCTCACTGCAACAGGACCCCTGAAGGGCGGGGCCCCTGTGGGGAGCCGTGGGGTTTTCAGCTCTGCCATGGACCAGGACAGCATGGCGAGTACTAGCCTGGAGCTAGTTTTGTTTTTTAGACAGTCTAGGCCACGTGTTGCAAGGCGCCATGTTCAACAATCAAGCTGATATTCTGCCCTGGCTTCTCCACTAACGCCCCAACTGGTTTTGCCTCAGGAGAAAAGGGTTGTTATGGATTGGGCCTATCCTAAAACCCCGCCAAAAATTTAATGATGAAAGAACAAGGATCTACATGACCTAACTCAAATGAATACATATCCTCCCCTACAATTTAGTCTTATTACAGGTGTAATTTTACAACAACATGTAACAAGTTAATCATCATGTGTTAGAATGCTAATATTTTTTTAAATTCCGAAAAGATACCTATCTCAGCAAATCAGAATTTTCTAGTTTAAATATTGTGACAGAGTAATAATACCCACATGTTGGCAAGGATGGGGAACAACTAGAGCTCTCAGAAAAGCTGGCAGGAATATAATACAACCACTTTAACAGTTTAAAATAAAGTTAAACACAAGCCCTACCCAATGAATCAGCAATTTCTCTACTGGGTACTGAACCAAGAGAAATAAAAGCATGTCCACAAAGAGGTGGACAAAAACATACACAGCAGATTTATTCGTAACAGCCAAACACAAGTGATGTGCAAAACAAATTCGACTTCTAGAGGCTGAATTGTAATGACAAATCGTTACCAACCTTGAGGTTAGGAGTCTGAGTTTGATCCACAATAAATCTCATCAAAATGTTAAATTGTTGATCAAATGGAAAGGAGTCCCTAGGTAAAAAAAAAAAAAAAAAAGAGAGAGAAAAGAGCTTGTTTTTAAAGAAAAATTTTTTTAAAATAATGTAAAGCCATATAAAAACAAAATATAAACTGTTGTAGATTAATATATGTAAAAGCAAGCCTGTTCACATTTTTTAAATAGTACTTTTAATTTTATATTAAATACTAAAATAATACACATTACATAAAAAATTTAGAAAAAGGGAAATCTTGTTAAACATCCCAAACACATACTAAACTTACTTTGAGTATGCTATTTTTAAAATTAATACTAAGCAATAAACTAATAAGGAAGAGATTCCTCCCTGCCTTCTAGGGGGTCTGCTCATCTCTCAAGCTACCTTATTAAGTATGGCTTCCCCGAAAAACTGCCAACTTACAAATCTTCTTTTTACACCCCAATTACACTGCCTACAGCTGACACTGCCTAAGTTAACCACACTGTCCTCCTGGTCCTAGCTGGTAAGTGCTTATGATCTCTGTCTGGTATAGTCACAAGAAGAGTGCTTGGAGGTAGTCAGCAAGAAAAACCCACATGCAGCTCCAGAACATACACAGAAGCCTGGCAGCCCTAGAAGCCCCTCTTCTACTTTATTTCTTACCTGTTACCAATCCCATTCCTTTAATCATCTCACATCTTTGGTCCAACTGAGTAACCCTGAGGGCTCTTGGCTAGTGAAAGTCAGTGCTCTCTCCCCCACTTAAATGCTGCCATTACTAGTATCAGTGTGCAACTGCATAATGGAGCCCATACAGACAATGCAGGCGCACCTTCCACACTAACAGAAAAGATAATGCAAGGCAAACACCTATTACAACTGAGGCCGGGTGATCGCATTGCTGTCTTTGGACTCTCTTAGAGACTTTTCTCAATAACAAAAGTATAGCAAAAAGGAAAGAGATGTAGGTTCAAAACTATAAAAATCACAAGACAGATGCGAAATTTAGATGAAATAATACAAGAAAAATGTAAAGTGCATGGCACATACTAGGTTGTAGCATTGCCAGCATTATAATTACTAATAAGAAGTAAACTAGGCCCAAAAGCACATTCTTTTCTATCATATCTACTTGCATCCAGGAAGCTGTGAGGACCACTTCTGGAAGCAAAGTACATTTTAGGATATGTGATTTAAGTGACTCACATGGTTATAAATTAAAGAAACACGGTCCACAAACCACACACAAAACATCTCTCCTTTCTTCTGTAGCAAATAATTGATATGTTTAACTAGGAAATGTGCCCTGCTGTTGGTACCGCTAAAGCACAGGAAGCAGAGGCAGATTTGCAATCAGGTCTATTACCTGAGGAACAGCTCTCAGCCAACACTGAGCCCCTCGATACTCACTCACTGATCCCAGATAACCTTAAGCAGCTACACATCTCAGCTGCTGAGAAAAAGGGAATGATAAACATGCCTTAGAGACTAAGACCAAATATAATAAGGACAGGATTCTTAAAGGAAATAGGCATCCAGGAAAATTAACAGAAGGAAATAATTGTATCCCTTAATCACCAAAGGGTGGGGATATAATCACAACATTCCTGCCATCCCCTAAAAATCTGTAATGAACCTTGTCATTCATAACTTCCCTTAAATTAAGCAAGTGACCTATAGGCCAAGTCTGGCTCACAAATGTTTTATTTGGCTTTCATAGTGCCATAAAAAAGGTTCTCGAATGTGTTGCCTTAATCCACATTTCTGACCTTCCTTGAAAAGTCTGGTACCACTGGGCCCAAGTTCCTACATGGCCACAACTGACCACACCTCACCATGCTATCCATAATCCTCCCTCTGATCTACTTCACTCATTTATTGTCAGCTGGATCAGCCTAGCCCTGTAGTCAATGCTTTATAAATCCACTGCTATACTGATGTACAGGAATGTTCCTGAATTCTGGCTTTTATGTGCAATCTTTAAAAAAAAAAAAAAAAAAAAAGCCAAACCCCTAGAAACAGAGTAGAATGGTGGTTGTCAGTGGCTAAGAGGTGGGGGAAATGAGGAGTGGCTGGTCAAAGGGGACACACTTCCAGTTATAACATAAATAACTTCTGGGGATCCAATGCACAACATGGTGATTACAGTTAACAATGCTGTATTATACACTTAAAAGGTCCCAAGAGAACAGACCCAAGATGTTCGTACCACCACCACAAAAAAAATGCTAATTATGTGAGGTGAAGGAAGTGTTGAGTAATCCTGTGGTGATAATTTATCAATCTATACATGAACCAAAATCATCACATTGTACCCTTGAAGCTTACACAGTGTTCTGTGCAACTACATCTCAAAAGCTGGGGGAACGGTCTGCTCCCTCAGCACTTACCTTGTGACATCCAGAGCCTTCTGAACTTTCGCTTGCACAGATCCAAGCAAATCTGCTCCCATTTTCTTAAGTAATTGTGTGAGAAGAACAAAAAGCCAGTCTTGCAAATCATCCTTATGAATTATTATAAAATCAACAAGAGTCTCCAAAAACATACTGAAAACCTAGACACAAATGAAAACCGAACATTTCACAAATTTACTTACTTAATTTTTTTTAATCATCACCCAAGAATACTTTTTCCAGTGCTTTTCAGAGAGAACAGAGGAAGGGAGAGATAAAGAAACACTGATGTGAAAGAGACACATCGATGGGTTGCCTCCCACACGTGCCCCAACCTGGGTCGGGGATGGAGCCTGCAACAGGGACTCGTGCCCTTGGCAGGAATCAAACTGAGACCCAGTCTGCAGGCCGCCCTCTAACCACTGAGCCAAACTGGCCAGGGCCATTTCACATATTTAATTCATCATTTCCTTCAAAGTCTCCAAACCATTAAAAATGCCAATACAGGCTTTGCCCCAGACTCTTACAAGCTAGGTTAAGACTGTTAACAACTGATCATACTATAGAAGACAAATGTATTAAAGAAAACGAGGGAAAAAGAATTGGAACTTACTCTCTGATGTGAATTCCACCGCAAACCAGGCCATGCAACAAAACAAATGCCATGTTAGTCCAGAATGAATTAATACAATTTTCATGCAGTTTCTTCAAAGACCTGAAATACTACAAATTTATAACATACTCTCTCCTCCCCCAATATGCCTTTAAAATTAAGTACAAAGAGAAAGAACTCTGATGAAGAGTATTTTATTTATTTATTTACTTACTTACTTATTTATTTATTTGTTTTAAAGTATTAGTTTAATCTAGAGGCTTTTTTTCTTAAAAAAACATTTAAATCATCATAATTCTATACTATTATTTTTCATTACCTATCATTCAAAAAACGCTATTACCGGAAGACTTTCCATCGAGATGACAGAATAGGTAGATACTGGTGCTTGCCTCCTCTCATGACCACATCTAAATTACAACTAAATTATAAAACCACCATCATTGAGAACCACCTGACGACTAGCTGATCAGAAGTCCTGTAACTAAAAATATAAAGAAGCCAGAGCGAGACTGGTAGGAAGGGCAGAGACCCAGCACAGGCTTGTCCCACACCCCTGAGTGAAATTAAGAATTGGGAGAGATAACTAGGCTATGGAGGACCCCCTGAGAAGCAAAGGGTCCCAGCCCCACACCGAGCTCCCCAGCCCAGGGCATCACAGTCTGAAAGGTTAACAATGGGCTGTGAAAACCAGCACTAACTGTGTCCGAGAAAGACAAGAGACTGCTAGATAAGAAGGTGCTACAGGTCTTAAAGGGGCCCACACGAAGACTCACCTGCTCACAAACTCACTTAATTTAGAGCTGCAGTGCAGGAGCAGCAGCTGGAAAGGCACCAGGGACATAAGGGATTAACTGAACCGACTAGCTTCAGGGCAAGGGCTGGAGGGGCAGAAGCTGGGATAGCCCTCCTGGACAAAAGTACTGGCAGGTGCCACTGTTTCACTATTGAGTCTTCACCCCACCTAGGTAGCAGGTGCATTCAGGCGCAAAGTCTGAACTCTCCATTAATCTTGCTAACACTGCTCACTGAACCCTGATGATTCCCTGAGACCTCGCTCCACCCAAGTCATGAGCCTGGTCCAAAGCTCTTTCAGCGGCTGTTCCATACAAGCCGCTAAACTGCGCCTGCACTGTGGAATTTCCTAAGGTCTCTCAAAAATCCACAAACCCAAAACAAGCAGCACCTGGTCTTGGTATTCTCCATACTTCTTCCTAAGGAGCTCCAAGCCCACCACAGGAGGCCACCAACTGCAAGTCATTCTGTAGCTCTTAATAGGTAGCCCCCAGACAGACACAGGCAGAAGCTGATATGAGTCTCCAACAGAGTCCCTCCCAAGAGGCCCCAGAAGCAACACACCTGGTAATCAGCTTCAGACCACATCAGAGCAGCACCCAACCACTGCCATAAACAACAAACACAAAGAGAAGACTCAGCAGGCACCAGAGCCCTGCTAAAGGAAATAATGCCCTGTGGGGTCAACCCCTGCACAACAGCTGGTCCACTATAATCATGGAAGGTCCTCACAGACAGCTATCTTGAGGGTCAATTTCACACACTGATGTGCCAGCAACAATTAAGGCTAACCTACAACAGGAAATAACACACACAACCCAAACAAGAGACACCTATGGAGCACCCCACTCAGGTGACCAGGGAAGTCTGCACCACTGGACTTGACAGGACACCTACTACATAAGGCCACTCTGCCAAGACTGGGAGATATAGCAGCTCTACCTAATATACAGAAAACCAACAGAGGGAGGCAGCCAAAGTAAGGACACAAAAAAACATGTCACAAATGAAAAAACAGGAAAAAACTCCAGAAAAATAATGAAATGGAGGCCAAAAATTTACCAGATAAAGAGTTCAAAAAACAGCTTATGAAGATGCTCCATGAACTTACAGGAAGAAAAGATGATCTCAGTGCAAACTTCAACAAAGAGATAGGAAACATAAAAAAGAACCAGTCACAAATGAAGAATACCATAACTAAAATGAAAAATACATTACATGCATTCAACAGCAAATTAGAAAAAGCAGAGGACTGAAACAGTGACATGGAAGAAAAGGTAGTGGAAAACAAGCCATCGGAACAGCAAAAAGAAAAAAAAAATTGAGGATAGTTTAAGTGACCTCTGGGACAACAAGCGTTCCAACATTTGCATCATGGGGGTACCAAAAGGAGAAGAGAAAGAGCAAGAGATGGAAAACCTATCTGAAGAAATAATGACTGAAAACTTCACTAACCTGGCCAAAGAAAGAAAGAAAGGAAAGAAAAATAGGTAGCTATACAAGGCCAGGAAGTGCAGAGAGTCCCAAACAAGATCAACCCAAAAGATGCCCATATGAAGATATCATAATTAAAATGCCAAAAGTTAAAGACAAAGAATCTAAAAAACAGTAAAAGAAAGCAGTTAGTTACAAGGGATCTCCCATAAAAGGTCACCTGATTTCTCAACAGAAACTTTGCAGGTCAGAAGGGAGTAACACAAAATATTGACAATGATGAAAAAAAACAAGCAAGGACCTACAGCCAAGGTTACACTATCCAGCAAGGTTATCATTTAGAATTGAGGGAGAAATAAAGAGTTTCCCAGATAAAATAAAATTTAAAAAATTCCTCACCACCAAACCAGCATTACAGGAAATGTTAAAGGGACTTCTTAAGAGAAAAACAAGATGAAAAATATGAATAAGAAAATACAGTAAAGAGAAACAACTAACTGACAAAGGCAAATATAATAAAAGCAGTGGATCAACCAATTATAAAGCTAGCACAAAGGTTAAAAGGCCATTGTGTATAATTACAACAATAAATGAAGAGATATACACAAACACACACACACACATAAAAGAAATTTTTTAAAATGACAAAAACATAAATATGGGGGGAAGAGAGTAAAAATGTTAGGGATTTTAGAATGCATTTGAACTTGTGACCATCAACTTAATTTTAATTTTATAGAATGCTATAAACATAGCCTGGTATATATGAAACACAGGTAACCATAACCCAAAGAATCTACAAAGATTTATGCAAAAAATAAAGAAAAATGAATCTAAAATGCCACTACAGAAAGTCATCAACATATAAGACAAAAGAGTAATAGAATAAAGGCAGTAACAGAGAAATACAAATACAATAAAATGGCAATAACCACATACTTTAAATATAAGTAATTAATTACTTTAAATGCTCCAATCAAAAGACATAGAGTGGGTAAAGGGATAAAATAAACAAAACCCATACATATATGCTGCCTACAAGAGATCTATTTCAGATTAAAAGACACACAGACTGTAAGTAAAGAGATGGAAAAGATATTTCCAAAACAGACTTTCAAACAAAGGCTGTAACAAAAGAAAAAGGATATTTTATAATGAGAAAGAAATCAATCCAACAGGAGGATCTAACTCTTTTAAACATTTACATACCCAACATAGGTGCTGAGCACCTAACTATATAAAGCAACTATTGAAACAAAAGGGAGAGGTCGACAGTAATAAAATTATAGTAGGAGACTTTAACACCCATTGACATCAATGGATAGAGCATCCAGAGAAATAATCAACAAGGAAACAGTGACCTTAAATGACACATTCAACCAGATCATCTTATATAATGAATATTTTTAGGACATTTCACCCAAAAGAAGCAGAAGATACATTTTTTTCAAGTGCACATGAACCATTTCCCAGGCAGCAAAACAAGTATCAATAAAATTAAAAATCATATCAAGCACCTTCTCTGATCATGATAGGAAACTAGAAATCAATTACAAAAAGAAAACTGAAAAAATACAAAAGGTCAATGAAACCAAGAGCTGCTCCTTTGAAAAGACAGACAAAATTGATAAAACCTTTAACTAGATGCATCAAGAAAAAAAGAGGGCCCAAATAAATAAAATCAGAAAAGAGAAAAGACTACCAACACGACAAATACAAAGGATTATAATACTATGAACAATTAAAGAAATGGATAAATTCCTAGAAACATACAATGTTCCAAGACTGAATCAAGAAGAAACAGAATATCTGAAGATGGGTCACTACTAACAAAATCAAATCAGTAATTTAAAAACTCCCAACAAACAAAAGTCCTGCACCACATGGCTTCACAGGTGAATTAACAGCTATCCTTCCCAAACTATTTCAAAAACTTTAAGAGGGTGGAAGGATCCCAAGCTCATTTCATGAGGCCAGCATAACCCTGATAACAAAACCAGATAAAGACACTACCAAAAAGAAAAAAGAAGAAAATATATAAGCCAATATCTCTAATGAATATAGTTGTAAAAACACTCAACAAAATATCAGTAAACCAAATTCAGCAATACATTAAAAAGATCATACATCACAATCAAGTGGGATTTATTCCTGGGATGCAAGGTTGGTTCAATATCCGCAAATCAATTAACATCATACACCACATAAAATGAGTAATAAAAATTGTATCGTATCAATAGATACAGGAAAAGCATTTGACAAAATGCAACATCCATTTATAATAACAACTTAGCAAACTGGGAAGAGAGGGAACAAACCTCAGCATAATAAAGGCCATAAATGATACACCCACTATCATACCCAATGGTGAAAAGCTAAAAGTATTTTCCTTAAGATCAGGAACAAGACAAGGATGTCTACTTTTTTTTTTCAATCCTCACCCGAGGATATTTTTTCCATTGCTTTTCAGAAAGAGGAAGGGAGAGAGAAAGAGAGAGAGACAGCAATGTGAGAGAGACATATCAATTGGTTGCCTCCCGCATGTCCCTGGATCAGGGCTGGGGATTGAGCCTGCAACTGAGGTAAGTACCCTTGGCTAGAATCGAACCCAACCTGGGACTGTTCAGTCTGCGAGCTGACACTCTAACCACTGAGCCAAACCAGCTAGGGTAAAAATGTCTACTTTTAACCACAGAAAGACAAATACCATATGATTTCTTCAACATAGTACTGGAACTCCTAGCCACAGCAATCACACAAGAAAAGAAATAAAAGGAAACCAAACTGGAAAGAAAGTATAAACTGTCATTATTTTCAGATAATATACCATACTATGTACATACATTTCACCAAAAAACTATTAGAATATATGAATTCAGTCAAGGAGCAGGATACAAAATTAATATTCAAAAATTTATTGCATTTTTATAAACCTAAAATGAACTATCAGAGAAATTAAGAAATTTATAATTGCAGCAAAAAATAATAAAACACATAGAAATAAACTTAAGCAAGAAGGTAAAAGACCCATACTCTCAAAACTGCAAGGTTCTGAAGAAAAAATTGAATATACAAATAAATGGAAGCAAATACCAAGCTCAGGTACAGGAATAAGTAACATCATTAAAATGTCCATACTACCCAAAGCAATCTACAGATTCAATGCAACCCCTATCAAAATACCAATGAAATTAGAATAATCCTAAAATTTATATGACACCAGAAAAGCCCCTGAATAGCCAAATCAATCTTGAGAAAGAAAAACAAAGATGAAAGTATCACACTATCTGATATCAAACTATACTACATGGCAATAGTAATTGAAACAACATGATACTGGCATAAAAACAGACACACAGATCAATGGAACAGAAGAGAGAACCCAGAAATAAATCCACGTCTATATGGTCAATTAATATATGACAAAGGAGGCAAAAATACACAATGGGGTAAAGATGGTCTCTTCAATAAATGGTGCTGGGAAAATTGGACAGATATATTCAATGAAAATGAAACTAGACCACTTTCTTACACCATATACAAGAATAAACTCAAAATGGGTTAAAGACTTAATGTAAGACCCTAAACCATACAACTCCTACAAGAAAGCATAGGTAGTAAACTCTCTGATATCACTCTTCACCAGTGATATGCTAGGATAAGGGATTAATATCCAAAATATGTAAGAAATCCATACAACCTAATACCAAAGAAATAACAATCTGATTTAAAAAATGGGCAGAGGATGTGAATAGATATTTTTCCAAAGAGGACATAGAGATGGCCAATGGACATATAAAAAGATGCTCAATGTCACTAATAAGAGAGAAATGCAAATTAAAACAATGAGAATACTACCTCACACCTGTCAGAATAGCTATCATCAATAAATCAACAAACAACAAGTTTTGGCAAGGATGTGGAGAAAAGGGAACCCTTGTGCACTGTTTGTGGAATTGCAAATTGGTATAGCCACCATGAAAAACACCATGAACGTTCTTCAAAAAATTAAAAACAACTACCACATGACTCAGCAATTCCACTTCTGGGTATTTATACAAAAGAAACCCAAAACACTAATTCAAGAAGACATATGCACCACTATGTTCATTGCATTATTTACAAGATATGGAGGCAACATCTCTCTCCATAGATGAATAGATGTCAGAAGAGGTGGTACATATATACAATGGAATATTATTCAGCCATAAAAAAGAATGAAATCTTGTCATTTGCAATAACAAGGATGGCCCTAGAGGGTATTATGCTGAATGAAATAAGTCAGACAGAAAAAGACAAATACCATATGATTTCACTTATATGTGAAATATAAAAAACAAACTAACAAACAGAAACAAACTCATAACACAGAGAACAAATTGATGGTTGTCAGATGGGAAGGGTTTAGGGAGATCAAGGTAAAGGGATTAAAATGCGTAAATTGCCAGTTATAAAAACAGTCACGGGGATGTAAAGTACATAGGGAATATAGTCAATAATACTGTTAATAACTATGTATGGTATCCGGTGGGTACTAAACTTATTGGGGTGATCACTTTGTAAGTTACATAAATCTCTAATCACTATGTTGTAAAAGTTAAACTCATGTAATATTGTATGCCAAGTGTAATTGAAAAAAAACTTTAAATAAAGATTATCACGTGACACCTATACAAAAAAATACTGTAATAGAATGAGGGGGAAAAAACCTGTATCTAGTTTTTTTCATTCTAGTCATCTATTTTAATGCATGCCAATTCAGATATTGTCAAGTAATATCTTTATAAAAAGATATTACAAAAGCCATAAAAGCTTTATGAAAGGTTATGGCTAAGAATAAAAGTTACTGACAGCTCACACAATTGTCATGCTGCTGTGTACCCATCATTGCTGTCTAAGATGAGGCAGTCACAGTGGGATATTCCTGAACCAGTTTCAGAGAGGTAAGCAGCACCATGTCTCCTCTACTTGGTTAATGAACATTGCTCTACTGCGACAACCCAGCCATCATATACCATAATAGTGCAGCAACTATTAACCACTGGGGTCTCCTGTGAGATGGCTCAGAAAAGTCAATGAGCCCAGCTGTGGGATTCCTAGCTTAGCTCAAAGGCAGCTAGCAAATAATAACTAAACTGAGACCTCCAAACTCACTGTACAAGAGCCTTCTGATGGAAACAAATTTCCTTCTTTATCCTCACATTCTGGTTCTGAATCAGCAATCTAGAGGCGACAGGTAACAGAAATTTCGTCAATGTCCAAAACCATCTATCCTTTATGCTATGAATCCTATAAATCTTACACTTATTATTTAAATCTTAGTGTTTTTAACACTATCTTAGAGAAAAATATCTTGATAATCATATCTATGTGGCCCTTAAACTCAACCTTTCTTGGATCTTATTAATATTTTTAACGTTAATCTTACTGTGAGGGTCAGGGTCCTAACAGGAACTCAAAGACATGCTTCAGGGCAGATCTGAGAAGTGCTGTCCCAAAGGGGGGAGAACGCCTGCATTCATTCTCCTGTGCTCCTGTGAGCATCTCCAAAGGCAGGGTCATACAATGCTTTCTGCACCCCTAGCCCGGAGCAGGTACTCAGCCAACACTGAATGACTGACTAGATCGGTGACTGACACTTAGAGGACAATTCCTATGACGAAGAAAGGCTAGGAAAAGAGGGGTAGATCACAAAAACAGGCTTCTTGCTGGCCATCACAGGTTTCATTCTTCCAGAAAAACTTAGAACAGACCACTGTCACTAGGAAAACTGAAGTATAAAATAGCTAAATCCTGTATGTGAAGCAGTTAAGATTTGCTTATGGTGATCAAGGTTCTCTCAATTTCTACACTTCAGTGTCCATCCTTCATCCACCCTTTTAACTTTCCCGATACCATCATCCCCACTGTCTTTCTCTAAAAGCATCTAACAGCCTCTAAAGGCCTCCTCCCAAACAATGACAATTACTTAAAATCTAGACTCCAAGTCAGCTTTCATAAGGGTCCCTCTCTCAGCACCACTCTTGAAGGGGGCCTGTCCCTTCCTCATGGATGTTCTTCTCGAGCAGGAAGACCCTCGTAGAAAAGGCATTCCTAGGGCTCAGTGCTCTCCTGGCCCCAGAAGGTGGAGGCACCAGCTAAGGGGTCACCATTTAGCAAGTTCTTGGGGCCAGCAAAAGTCTATTTGCAGAAATAACCCAGTTCTCTAATAAAACTACATAAATGCTTCCACTTTTCTATCTTGTCTTATATAGAAATAAAAAATTACTATATATTTATTTTTTGAAGAATTTTAAAGAATTTTTATACAGATGCAAAAAAATTATTATGTATTTGACTACTTTCTTCACTACTGTAACTTTTTTAAAAGGCACTATATTACAATACAATGGCCCGTTTTAGCACCTAGCCCACTGTCTGGCTAACAGGAGACAAAAATATCTGCTGAAAGACAACTGATTCTCTCCATGAAAATTCTTACTTAAAATGCACTTTATTTCTAAATTGAAGTTTCATGGACATTTGAAGCTCCCAAGAATTCCATTTTTAAAAGATGTAACATAAACTATTACTAAAATTAGTGTTAAAATCTGTGAGGGGCAGGGGAGGAGCGGGGAGCGGGGAGAGCGGAGCAGGGATCAATCGATTGGCGATCGAACCTGCAGCCTTTTGGTGTACTGGATGATGCTCCTATCAACTGAGCCGCCCAGCCAGGGCTAATCTGTAAGGTCTTAACGGTGCTACAGGGAACCATCTCTCACTCTTCAACAGTATGTTACACAGTTCACACAGACATGCAGAGAGGAAGGTAAGCAAGGCATGATTCCCAGACTTACCTTGCTATGTGGGTCAGCAAACATTCGTGTGAAGATCTCACACAATCTTTTCAATTCTACTCGACTGAAAAAAATAAAATGGAAATAAATGCACTTTAATACGTCAACACTGAAATTAGTTACAGCCTTGCTTTTAAATATCCTTTTATTGCCCGGCCAGGCATGGCTCAGAGGTTGAGCATCTCAATCTAGGATCCAGGCGATCGGGGTTCGATTCCCGGTCAGGGCATATGCCCCAGGTGTGGGCTCGATCAATGACTCTCTCATCACTGATGTTTCTATCTCTCTCTCTCCCTCTCCTTTCCTCTCTCTGAAATCAATAAAGATATATTTTAAAAAAATAAAATAAAATAAATGAAATGAAATAAAATCCTTTTATTTCAGTCAACTACATAAACTTTACATAATTTTTATATAACAAAAGTTTTTTCACACAAAAACTTTATTATTTAACTTATGATGAAATTAAATAGGAATCTAAAACTGTAATAGCTTTGTTTTTATTTTAAAATGAGAAAACTAAATCTCAGACAGTGCCTACATTCACATGTGCGGAAGCGGTAAAGCCATGAGATAAATCCTATTCATTTCATTCCAGGTCTGTTTTCCACCTGCCACAGATGAAAGGCAATGGGGTAAACTAGGAAAAGCATATATTTTGGGGTCAGACACACCTGAATTTTAACCTCAGTTCTGCTTTAGAGAAAGTACTCTGATATCTTTCTATCCAATCAGTCACAGAGGATAAGAGCTACTGGCTGCTGTGAGGATGAGGGAAGACAACACCTCTTTCCTAGGACTGGGCCCAAGACTAAGCAACCACGCATTTCATTTTAGGGCCCCTCGGCCTTTTCTTATCCTTACTGTACTACTGAGTCCCATTTTTACTTCAAGGCTTCATTAGAAGCGCCACCTCTTTCCCAAGCCATGCCTGAGTAATCCTTCCCATACACACGACACAATCCAGATTAGACCAAAGCTAATCAATAAATTTCTAGAGGTTATTCAATGGGTGCTTGGTGACCACTAAGATTCAAGAAACAGAATTAAGCAGATTCTTGAAGCAATAATCACAACAAATTATCTTCATTTTGTTTTCTGACAGATCACTAGAGGTCGGAAGCTACCTGGCTTTCAGAAGGCATGTAACAGAAGTCTCATGACATCTTCATGAATGGAATGGAATTGGGGGGTAGGGAGGATGCATGTCAGCAGGTGAGAATAAGCAGGGTAGAGTCAGGCTGGCTTGGTAGCCACACTGCATAGGATTCCTTTGTCAGTGCTCACTTAGTTTTGCAGAACCCATCTAGGGCCATAAACACATCCGGTGCCATAATTTATCTTTAAAAACTTATCTAAAGAATATAATACGCTGTATGTCATGGATTCTAAGTTGCCCACTTTTTCACATTTTAACATCTCTGTAATTGTGAGATTCATCTTATAATCAATGACATATTAGTTACATCAGGTTTAATAAGCAGCATTTCTTCTTAAAGGGATATAAAATAATGTGTCTATAGTGCCTTAGCTTTGATGAAATATGGTATAAAAACATATTTGTTTGATATCATGCAATACTTGCTCATATTAGAAAATTTATGAAATATAGGAATAAAAAGAAAAAAAGCAAAAATAATCAATATTAGAAATAATACTGTTACTATTAGTACTCCATTTTAGTATCTCTTTACCATGCATACTTTTAAGGTACATTTATGCATATGTGTATTAAAAATGTTAGACTGAGACTGTTATCATCTTACCCACAACCCTAAAATGTAATGAACCACACCAAGCTGCAGAGTTTTTTTATTTTCTTTCCAAAGCAGCTGTGCCATTTTCTTTTCCCACCAAGTATGAGTGACAGTTTCCAGTTGTATTTTTCACCTAAATTGCAACATGTACCAAGATTTCTCAAATAATAGCTACTAGACAAACGTGAACTGTAAGGGAACCAAATGTTTTTATAAATCTAATAAACTACAGAGTATTTGCCAGATACTTCAAAATCTCTGGAAGGCAAAGACTGGGTCTCGGTCACTTCAACACCTTTGGTGCTGGAACTCTGTAAGGGCTCCATAAATGACAGAGAACCCACTCACGCCCCTGATGAGGACAGTAAGGGACTCAAAGCTAGCTCACCACCCTCAGTCGCTGTCCTCACCTCAGTGTCCTTTGGCTCTTCAGCAAGTTCTGCAGGCCCAGGAGCCCTTCTTTCCTCTCTGACCAGTTTGAACTAGCACAGTGGTTGAGAACTTCTGCTACATCCTCGGTCTGCCGCAGATAATGGGGAATGCCCCCATTCCTGGAACCATATGAGCGCTCAGAGCAAACACTCGAGGCATCACTGTTGGCATCATCGTCAGAATACATCCCATATGGCTCGTATCTCCTCCTCACAGGCTTCTTCTGCCAGGTCGAACAAGGGATGGGGGTGATAGAGGAAGAAGTGGAAAGATGAAATGACCATGAGTTGTACCAAACAAAACCACCACCACCAAAGAGTTATGTGTAAAACGATACACACACAGATGCGGATGCACCACACCTGCCCTGTTTACAGATTAGGGAATAAAAACAGAAAAGCAGACTTCTGGTGGATATAATAAGTAATAAGCAGAGCAACCTGTAGCAAAGGGAAAGAGTATGGTCCCTAGTGCACTGTGTGGACTTTTCAGTAGACAGGCTTGGGTTATAATCCTGCTGCCCTCACTGGCTGGCTGTGTGACTGCAGAAGCCTCCTGCCCTTTCTGCTTTAGTTTTGAGATACTAATTATACCTCTCACACGTTTCTTGTAAGGACTAAGTGGAATTACATATTAAATAACCTAGCTCAGCACCTGACACAATGCGAGTTGTGTAGCCACAGTTCCTTCCCAATCAAAAGTAATATATCTTGAGCATGGTCTTTGGGTCAATTTGTTTGAATATTCATGCTTCCTTAAAGTCTGAAATGGGAATGTCAGTTGCAGAGTATCGTATGTACAAGAATTCCTAAATTATCTGAGCCACTTTTAGTAAGGACTTAAAGTTTTACAACACAGGCTTCCTGTAGATTATCATTTCTCTTACCCTGACTACAAGTGAAACCCATAAATAATACAGTAACAGCTAAATAAAATTGATAAAATTTATAAAATACAATTTAAGAGAAAAACAAATAGTTATTAGCTTAAACTGTACAAATGCAATTTTCTAATAATATAGCTTTTACTTACACCCCAAATTGCTCAGGAAAGTTCTGCCTTATGCCCACTGTCCCAACATAATTATTAATAATCCCCTTTCACTCTCAAAAGTATGATCACCTTACTTATACATAAACTAGATCCCTAAAATAAGAAAAATGTTGAATATATCCATTCATGGAATAATAAAGACATAAGAGTAGACACAAATAGGGTTAATAAATAAAATGAAACGCTACTGGGAGAAGGCGCAGAGCTTGACATTCAAAATAAATACTAAAACAAACAGAGGTGACTGACTCCACCACTAATAAAAGCTTCACCAGATTCAACAATATCACAATTCAGGCCAGAATTTCTATATTGTACTACAGTTTTTGTTGCTTTCACTAGCTCCTAAAGGAAATATACTTGCAAAAGAAAAAATAAAGTTGAAAAACAAAAGTTAAAGCACTGGTACCTTGCTCCTGGAGTCTCCTAACAGCTGTAGGCAGGAAAATATTGAAGGATGGGGAAAAAGCATAGAGAATTATGTCAGAAGCATATGTGGGGATCGTTCTCGCAACAAAAGTGCACAGCAAAACATATCTTAGCAAACCAAAAACACAGAGTAGCAAGCGATTCATATCACGTGAACAGTAATAAAGGATGCTTTCACAATGGCATTTCCTAACCCTGCTGGACGCTCAGGAGACCTCTGCTCCAGCTCTCCCACACCTGAGGGAATCTCTAAGGTTGCCATTCATTCTGTGGTCTGTTGCTATGTTACATTCTATTTGCCCCAGGCTTCTATCCTGTGAGGTAAGAACTGTGTACCATTTTGTGCTTTCTCTTTGGAAGCAGGGCAATCGGAGAGTCTAAGCAGTTTAAACAAAAAGTAATAAGGGCAATGTGAGTGTAAATGGAGCTAGAGCTCAGAGAAAAACCAAAGTCAAACAGAGCCAAGGCTCCAACTCTTGAGTCCTGCTCAGCCTCCTAGACCTCTGTACACAGTCCCTCATGCAGTTCTTTAAAGAACCAAGGAACTCCCCCACCTTAACTGGAAGTCCCATTTAACACGGATTTGGCACATCCATCGTTTCCCACCCATGTGACCTCCACTTCCTGGGGTCTCTGAAAGAGTAAGACAGAAGCTAAATGCTGCAACTTGGAAGGAAAAACAGCTTCTGAGAATCTGTTCCAGTGCGTGACTCTTAAGTTAAAAGCCACTGTTAGAGCAATTACCCTCAACTGCTGTATCTGCCAGAAAAAAGGCCCTCCTACATGTAAGGCCAATGAAAAGAGCTGGCCAGGCAGCCCTGGCATATAGGGAAGTGTTATGAGAGTGGCAAACTGCTTGCTCACAACTGCTTGCCAAAGAAATCTGACTGAGCAAGAATAAATGAGGGAGAAACAGGAAAAGGCGAAAGTCAGAATCCCTGTAGCCACAGACTATAAATCCTGATCACACAAAACATGGTTCAATTTAAAACTTCAGGGTCTGAAACAGGGTATTTTCTTAGAAGAGAATAAATCTTCCAACAGCACAAGCACAGCCAGAGATCAGACAGTTCTAAACAATACCTAGTTTAAATGCTGAGCACACAAACCAAAATATGCCAGAGGCTGTGCTCCTGCTCACGGAGATGTATCTTTAAAATGCAATTTGACCACAAGCAGATTCTACTAAGGACTTTTTTACTGTAACCATAAATGTAAGGACCTCTAATCACTTTATATTGGTTTTTTTAGATATTATAATGATTAAAAAATATATTCCACTAGTGCTTTACATCTTTCAAAGGGTTAATCTTAAACTGGGGGAAGGTTTCCTTAAATAATGACTTACAAACTCATTAAAAAAAAAATCTTATGGAACAACTAGTGAGGAAATGGAATAAATGCAGATTTTCAAACCACAAAGTCTATGACCTATGATAACGATTTGTTTAGGTTATGCCATCAAAGCTCGTAAAGCAATAGAAGCGATAGAATGGGAAAAAGGAGATGCTGGAAAAAAAGGAGAAAAAAGATACCCAGGGACATCAGAGAAGCCCCATGTCATCACAACTTCCTTGATACTGAGGCACACAGAAGAAATACTTGATGCTAATAATTTCTGTAAGGCCAAGTTTCACTTATGTAGAGAGGTAAAAGCTTAAGAAAAAAATAACACAAATTTACCCGTTATTTACACAGTTTTAAAGAGTGCCAAGGGTGGCTTAGTAATCTGACCGGAGGTAGTTTTCTGTTAAGACAGAGAAGATGCAGATGAGTGAAACAAAGAAACGACACACACTGTGATCCTTACCAGAGCATCCGCAACAGCAGCTTCAAGATCTGTGCTTGTGCTTAACACACGCATGGCATTCACAGAACCAGGTATTCGTCCTGCCTGGCCAAGCCCAAACCGGTCTATTTAAAAACAGAAGCAAAACATACGTCACTTTAATTCACATTTTCTCAGTTCTTTGCCAGGGTTCCTGCCTCTTCCCACCTATCCAGCAGAGGCACTGGAACTTTTCCAGCCAATTTTAACTACACTGGACTTGTATTTTTAACTACACTTGGTTACCAGTGGCAGAGGTTACAGTGTTCACACTTGGTGCCATCGTGCCACAAAGCACCCTGACAGTGGAAGTGGTTTTTTTAATGATATTTTATTTTTGAAAAGTGCTGAGACATGGGAGAGAGAATAACTTATTATAGGAGGGAACTGAGCTATGAGGTGAGTCTTTCAGAAAATCTATTTAGCATTCCCTCTAGAGGCAAGTGGCCCTGAGTCCGGTCAAACTAGAAAGCTTTAAGGTTTGACAAATGAGTTCTAATGCAAAGTGCAATAGTCAACATTTGAAACAAATGTATTCAACTGATCGCTCTGCAAATTTTCATTAGTGTCACTACTGTTTAACTACTATTAATTAAACTCAATTAATATTAGGCATATGTTCATCATAATTCCTGTACCAAAGGTTATTTAAATCAATTTATTAAAATTCTTTAATAATCACCACAAAAAGCTAGCATCTTAACTGCAAAACATTAATAATTCGGACGATACTGTATACATTTTTCCTGAGTCCCTCAAAGGATTTTTAAATGATAGTCTTTACACATGTAGACAAAATGGATAGAATCCAAAGGATTTAAAACAAATTTTACTGTTTAAACTACTATTCTAACTTTTTAAAGTCCCTTTAAATCAGTTCACCAGCCTTCCTTAAGAAGTACTGAGATTTAAACTATAATAGAAGGTCTATGTAAGTTATACTTCACAAGTGTATCACTATTTTCTTAATTTAGAATAAAGGAAAGCTAATATCTGTTTTACATAAATTGATCTTTCCTATAAAGTGATATATATACATACACATATATATGATTTTAGATATGTAACAAAACATCACCTACAAAACTGGTGAACTTTAAAAGTGAAGTGTTATTTAGCCCTTTTAAAATTCCAGTTTTAAAACATGTACATTTTCCATCGCCACAGAAAGAAAAAAAATGTACGCACTGCTAATCAAAAAAGTTAAAATACAGTCATGAACTTTTATAAAGAAACAAAAACTTGTATGTTATACTATCCCCTTTTTTAATGCACTTGATCATACTGAATGTCATCTTCACCATTTAAGGCAATTTAATTCCATATAAACTAAAGAGAAATCACAGAACAATTATATCTGTATACCTGTATAGATAAAAATTATCAGTTGAAATATGAAACAATTATGAATTCAAGATTTATTGTGCACGTAGTTTCATGAATGATCTTTGTTCATCTTTTTTTCCCATTAAAAAAGGGTAGATAGTAAGGGATTTATGAGTAACAGAATGAAAGTAATTCAGTTAAAAGCCATTTAAAAATTACCCAGCATGAACTTAAAAAAAGTCTACATAAGATTTAAAAAAAAATTAGATTTCATGCCAGCAATTCTTGCTCCAGGGATAATACTGATTTTTCAGACACAAATTAAAACTATAAGAACAATGCAATAATTCTTGCTTCCCAGATGCATACAGCTTTGTCATACACAGTGACTGCAGATCATTCTATATGTATCACAGATAATTTGAATTCCACATCTTAAGAGGAAATGTTTGTCTGGATCTAAGCAAAACTGTAAGCCTTTTATTTCAACCAGAGCAAAATCTGTTCTACATTCTCACTGCTGTGATACTATTATGAAGCTCCACTTCCAAGAGGTGGGCACATATGACTGTACCCTTACTCTGGCCCATAACCTTCAGTGGAATGTGCTCATGAGAGCATAAATTTTAAAAATGCATAACTGGCTTCATTTAGAGGAGGAACAGAGAAAATATCTAACTCAGTGAATTGGTCAGAATTGTCACCTGTGATTTAATAAGACTGTGCCTTACTCAATACTGTAGTCATTAGTACAATGACTGTAGTCAATACTGTTAGCATATCGAAATGACGCCAGTTAAATCTGGCAAACTGATATATTATTGTATGCTTACTTTTGCCCCAATGGCTAACCAGTAAAGTTTTGGTATTGTCAAAATGGGGCTGAGATAAAAAGCTTGGGGTTCAAAGGCTGCAAAAGCGACCACTGGTCTGACTATATTATCTGAATCGTGATCTTGTTTTTCCATAAAAGTTTTAGACCATCCATTTATTTTTATACATATAATTTTATGTATGAAATAATCCAGTAACTAAATAGTACCTCCAAACTAGAACTTGACACTAATAACTAACTAGTAATTACCACTTTATTGTGAACAAAGACTTTGGAGATGAAAGACTCTCTGTTGGATGGTATTCATACCCCATTCCCCACAGGGACCCTTCTGATACCTAGAGTTGGGTGGCTTTCCTGGGGGAAGGAACAAAAGAGGGTGAGAAGTGTCCTACCCTTTATTTTTGCTTTGTTTTGTTTTAACATAAATATGAACACTGGAGAAATGTCAAACAGGCTATAAAGCATCTACAGCCTATTAACAGAACCATAAACATTCAACAACTTAAAAAAATAAAAGCACATTGGGGGAAAAAAATGAGGTGCATACATGCCAAGTGCTAGCCAACACTGATGAAAACAAATGTTAAAATGAGTATGAAACTAGAACAGATGAAGAAGCCGAGTCATGCAGTTAGCACTTGTTCACCTGACTGCCCAACAGATTCAGCAGTGGAGAGAGCACTAGTGGACCTGGAATGACGTCGAGAGGCTGCAGGTAAAAGGAATGGTAACACCCACAGGGTTAACATAGAAGTACCCAAGACAGAAAATGCCACAGTCCAAAGGAAATGCAAGGACTGCTGCCAACAGGCCATGTTCTCTCATGAAAAGAAATGGTGCCAGATATGAATGGATAGCAAGTGCCAGTCTCCAAATTCCACAGCAACCTGCTGGCTCTCACACAGCTATTAACACACGGCACAACAAAGGCTCTCTAAGGTGCTCCTTATGCACCTACGAATCCAGACTCCAGGTTGATATTCACGCCATGAAGCCTCATCAGCCAATGTGAAAATATGCAACATGAAGAACATCAGGAGTCACAGAGCACCGTCTAAGTCCCAGAACAGAACAGCAGTAGGATGGATTAACTCAGCCCACAGGATGGCTTATCAGTATGTGATGCATATGCAACCATGCACCAAAAACAAAGCACAGAAGTTCATGTTATCTGAACAGAAACAATGAAATCACAAAAGGGGGCTCAACAACTGGAATTCCATTTTCTCCAGTCAAAATGTTTGTTCTGTTGCATGAATATCCTAATTAATGAATTTACTTTTTAATTATTAAAAACTTAGTTTTAAGTTTACTGGCCTTCCTGGGAGAGGCATTTGCAGTACTATGGTTATGAGCACTGGCTCTGTAATACAAATGGGGGCAAATCTTGATCACAACAAGCTGTAAGACCTCGAGCAAAGTACTTAACATCTCTGTCTCAGTTTCTTCATCTGTAAAATGGTGAGTTAAGAGAATTAAGAGATCATACATAAAGCACTAAACACAATGCCAGGCACAGAACAAACAGTGGTTAATAGTCATCCTAGTGGTGCTGAAGGTGGCAGTAATAATTAAGAGTAAATTCCAATTTACATTTAGACGTTAAATATTGTTTTATTAGCAAGTATACATAATAAGCATATCAATTCATCAATTGGAGGAAATACATGCTAAACTCCATCCTCATGTGGAGACAATAACTTTTAGGATTAATTATGAAATATAAACTTGATTCAAAACATGAATTTTTGACCAGAGTGCCACACAATATATGGCTTTCCTTTACCTCGGGAAAACAAACAAGGTAATATGCTTCTATCATTACTCTGAAAAGAACATGATGATGCATCACAGAAAATCCCTCAGTTTGATGAAGTCACACTGAGCAGTGCTACTCCTCACGCACACCAGAATGTAGTGTCCTGTACATGTTAACATTCACAGTCATCAAATAGCAAAATCTCTTCAGTATCATTTATTTATTAAAGATCACGTCATTTGATAAAATGCACATATCTGTGGTATATGTAGTATTAAATAGCAACGGCTACTTGGTCAATAAGGACAAATTTTTACCAGCTTATAAAAAGGAAAAATTTTAAATTCCTAATTCTTTAAGCAGCACAAAAATAAATCAGTAATCTCTAAACCAGATATTATTAAATAGTCACTTTACTCAAGTAAGGAAGATGGCAAAGTATTTTCTAAGACTGAAGCAAAAGAACCCTCACTTCATTATACAAGCTTATCAGTATCGCTTAACAGTTTAAACCAAAAATAGCTTTTAAGGCATACGTGACCTAAAGGTTTCTTATAAAGCTGTCCTTTGGTTCCATTTCAATAAAATATTCTATAGTATATCTGTCCTGTAATGAGTCCTTTGTCACAACCTCAGTAAACACCCGACAATGGAATCCAAGATGAACCCATTTACGTCAAAGCCTTATTTACAAGTCCTAGAGCCCTTGATTTCACTTTAAACTTGTCATTTTAACCATATAAATATGTATTCATACTATTAAAATGGGCCAAAACAATCTGGTGATAAAAATGCAAACTTAAAGCCAATATGCAGTCACTGAAACATAATTACTTTCACCACCCACCCTTTTGGGGAAGTGAAGGTTACATGTGAGTTGATAAAAAGGGGCGCTAACACACAATCTCACTGATTTCTAAAGGGAGCGGGAAATAATTATTTATGTAAATAAGAAAAAGAAAACTTCACATTCTTTGAAGGGCATAGTAAGTTCCCCTGGGAACCACCTTCGGGGGACTTATTTACAAATTCCCAGGTTGTAGCTCGAAGCCTGAAAATCTCATTCAGAAACATCGCTGAGTGCCCGGCCGGGAGTGGCTCAGCGGTTGAGCATCGACCTAGGATCCAGGCGATCAGGGTTCGATTCCTGGTCAGGGCACATG